TGTTGGTAACGGGTTACCAACAATGTTTACAGAGCAAACTGTTGCAAACAGCGTCGCAAATGAAGCTAACGACTTGGCAATTACAGCAGACTGTATGGGATGTCAAATAGGGTGCTTTGGACTTGGTAACCATATATTACAATGGTAACGCTACCGTTACCAAAGGTCATAGTCAGATATCAAAATCTTACTTTTGGACTCAGGAGAAACTGATCAAAACCGTCCATAGAACACGTAGTTTTAGTGCCACCCGGCCATTTTCACTTAAACCCCGCCTCAACGATCCGGATTGGTCGGTGGGCGTTATTGGCCATTTTCACTTAAACCCCGCCTCCCAACGATCCGGATTGGTCGGTGGGCGTTATTATGTCTGTAATACTTATATGATTAGGAAGGTGGTATACCTGATACGAACGTCCGCCACTATCCTGACCCACCCCAAAAGTTTCCTCATTAAAGCGGCCGGTACGATCGTTTTGTTCAAAATATTTACTGCACTGGAACGCTCGTATTTTTAATGAAGAAACCGATCGAAAAAACCGAAAATTTTGTTTTCGACGATCGTCTGAATCTTGAATTTTAGTGTTGTACAACATAATAATCTTTTATTTATTATAAATTGAAAAGATGCCTCCCGTTCACCGAAATGTGCACGGTCAGTTCGCGGCTGCTGAGAGCTCGGTCCCACTCGCCCGGGTGCCGCGGTTCCGCGTCGGTCGAGACGCCCGCCAGCGCACGCCGCCAAGACATCGGCGGCGTGACCGGTATGCGGACATCAATGCCGCGGGCGGAGTCAGCCACCGCAACCGGCGCCCGGGAAAGAGTGCGTGCTGCGTGGCGAATGCAGCAGGCTGTTATGGCGGAGAGAGGCGGGACTTCAAGGAAACACCATCAGGTCCACGCCGGCGTCCGGGAAGACCGGTGTTTTCACGACCAAACACCGGCGGACACCGGAACCTGTTCCGCCTCTCCTGCCGGCCCGTCGGTCACTGGCGGTCAAACCAAGTGCCGGTTCGCCGGAGCCGCAAGCGTCGCCAACAAGTGCTGCGGACCACCAGTTGTCCCGGTGCACCACCCTGCGGACATGGACGAACTCCTTGAGTTCGAGCCTGATGTAGGAGACCAGGAAGTTCCAGGCGCCGTCCACTCCACAGTCCTACGGGTGGTCCGCCGGGATAACCGATGGGCTAGGTTTTATTTTGTTTTTTTGGTAGTTATGTTTTTTTCTTTTCTTTTTTTATTTTATCATAATTAAAATAAAATAAAATAATAAAATTGCAAAACTGCCCAAAAAAAGCAGTTTAATGTTGGTGTTTGTTGTGTGGTTTTATGTTGTTTTTGTTCAAATGTTCAAATAAAATTAAAGTAAAATAAAAACAAAAAAACGGAAAACTGCCAAAAATATGATAATTTAATTTTCAAAATATTTTGTTGTTGTTTATTTGCTCTTTTGTTTACCTTTTTGTTTTTGTGTAAAATTTGTGTTCATTGGTTAAACTGAAGATAAAACCGAAGAAACCATAATACAGTCAACATGAAGTTTGAAGTGCATTCCTAGATTATTCAGAACCACATCACATTACAAGTGCCTTCCACCCACTTCCTGGTCCGCTTACTTTCATCAATACCTCAAATATCTAGCAAGGTTTTACCTGCCAATTACCTGGAGCCTGTCAATTGCTGACTAAAGTGTGCGACCATTTGAATTAACAAATCCAAAAGGAAAAGACTAAAACAACTAATTCGTTGTTGCTGACGGTCAACAGTATTACAGACAATCGTATGCACCGGAGGTATAACGAGGCCCGCCCTTACGAGGCCACGCTGTCGGCCGCAGTCTACTTGTAATACTTATATGATTAGGAAGGTGGTACCACCTGATACGAACGTCCGCCACGCCCACTCTGACCCACCGCAAAAGTTTCCGTCATTAAAGCGGCCGGTACTAAATGTGACCTTACATTTGCAAATCTCAAGATTCATTGCGTTCAGCCGTATTCAAGAATTCGATGAACCGGCTGAACCGACCATCAGACCCGAAAACGAACTAGTGAACCTTTTTCTCGCGTCAAATTATTTTGGGTAGCCAGCAAAGACATTTTTCAAAAGGTCACCCGCCATAGTTATACACTATAAATGGTCACGTGACCACCGAATCTATGGTTAGGAAAGGTCACCCGGGTGACCTCTAACCGGTTTCTGACTCAGGAAGAAAAACTAATAGTACCTGTCCATAAAAAACAACGTTAAAGTTTGAAATTACCGAAACCTATTAAGCCACGCCCACAAACCCAGTTACATAGGTAACACGCAACCACAAGTAGTGACCAACAAGTATTTCATACTATTCCTGCTCATAAAAACGTGACAAATCAAATAAAATAAAAATCTTTGCCGTTACCAGTGAATTACTAGGTAACCGACCCTATGTCATGGTAACCACTGCAGTAACAGGTACCGTTACAACGGTGGTAGCTGATACTGATATCGTTTTGGTTACCGTTTTATTAGTTACATTAGTAGCGGGCACCGCTACTAATTTAATAACGAAAACCGGTACTACCGCTATCATTGTAGTAACGGGTACCGTTATTCAAGTGGTAACGGGCACCGTTACCATGGTGACAACAAGTTACCAACAATGTTTACAGAGCAAACGATTGCTAGCGGCGTCGCAAACTAAGATAACGGCTTTGCAATCACAGCAGACTGTACGGGAAGTCAAATAGGGTGCTTTGGACTTGGTTACATATGGTAACCATATATATTACAATGGTACCGCTACCGTTACCAAAGGTAATGGGGTTAGATACCAAAATCTTTTACTTTTTCGGACTCAGAAAGAGAAACTGATCAAAACCGTCCATAGAACACATAGTTTTTGTGCCACCGGGCCATTTTCACTTAAACCCCGCCTTCGGACGATCAGGATTGGTCGGTGGGCGTTATTATGTCTGTAATACTTATATGATTAGGAAGGGGTGGTACCTACCTGATACGAACGTCCGCCACGCCCACTCTGACCCACCGCAAAAGTTTCCGTCATTAAAGCGGCCGGTTTTTTTCCAAAAACGTGAATATACGCATGGGATGGTTTTCAACCGTTTTGTACTTTTTGGAACAGCGAGGCTTCCAAAACAAATAAAAACTGTGAAATTGGATGTAGCTTGGTTTACTTGGGCAGCACTGGGACGTACGACTCGGTACCGTTATAACAATAATGCTCATGAGACTCCAATATACGCAGGAGATGGTATTCAACGGTTTTGCACTTTTTTCAATAGCGGAGTTTTCAAAACGAATAAAAACTGTAAAATTGGACAATGTTTGGTTTGCCTGGGTAGTACCGAGACGTACTGCTCGGTACCGTTATAACAATGATGCTCATGAAATTTGGTTATACGCATGGGACGCTTTTCAACCGCTTTTCAGTTTTTGTTTAGCAATGTCTCTAAACTTGATTGAATTTGGAAACTGTTGTATGTCCGAGTTTTTGGAGTGTGCCGGGACGTAACACTCAGTAACCGTTGTAACGAGCTCGTTACCAACATGTTACCTGTGCAAATCTGTCAAATGAATACAAGTAGTTGTTTAATTTAGATAAAGAAAGTACTTCTCATGTCAGTAATACTGATATACTGCAAAGTACTTCGCTGCATTACTTGATACATAACCACCAAATTGCTTTATACTAAAGGAATACTGCTTGGCCAATCGTTGTGTTCAAAACAATAACTCAACTGGAGTGCTCATATTTTTTAATAGAGAACCCAACCGAATAAACGGCTACAGCGTATGCACTTTGAGATCCCAGGAGATATCACTCGGAAGTTTCAGTACGCATGGGATGCACCAATGATTGAGCGGAACATTGCCATTCTTATGTCTAGTACAAAAGGAAACAAACGTAACAGGGCTGTCTTGCTGGCTGCACTAAACAAAGACTCTGGAGCCTGGTTGAATGCGTTGCCCGCTCCGTGTCTGGGAACATTCCCTACAAACGACGATGTGCGAATAGGTATCGCATTGCTGTATAAAATAAGAAAACCAAAAAACGTAATACTGCCAAAACTATGTAGTTTAATTTTGATAACTTTCGTTGTTTTGTTTAATTGCTGTAATTTTTCTCATTTGTATTCCTTTTTGTTTTTGTCAAAATTCTGTGTTCATTCAAAAATTTTACATTGTTCGCAGAATAAAATAGCAACCAGTTATACTTGGAACCAAAACATATCAACACAGAATTTCAATCGGAAACATTCCTGATTTTTGTAGAAATCTGTCGATTACGCATTAACACGGAGTAATCATTTAAAGGATAAAATTATATTTTCCTGAACAAATCAATAGAAAATGACTAATGGGCTACCTGCTGACGGTCTACAGTATTACAGACAATCGTATGCACCGGAGGTGCATAACTTACGAGGCCACGCTGTCGGCCGCAGTCTACTTGTTAAATTAAATCGGACCGCCTCTGCTCATCGGCTTATTGCTCATCAGCGCCCAGGTACCGTTACGCATAGTTCGAATTTTAAATAATTCAGGGAAATTCATTGTATATTTTGAATTTACCAGACAACTGAGACCGTGCGAAAGAAGTAATCATTTTATCTTTTCAGTTTCTGAAATACACAGTAAACAGCGTTTAATGCAATCCTAAGCCGTAACATCGTTTAGGCGCACCTTCCGATTTCACAGAAGTGTAAAAATGTTTTTTGCCTGTTCGTCACAGATTGTACTTGCCCCTTCTGTGTACTATAACTTAAACCGAATTTTACCGACCGATGCCAAGAAAAGCCTTATCAGCCGCTGTTGTACGGTTTTACGCGCTGAAATGCATGGGGTTGCTAAAACTTTTCTGTGGTAATGTGAACGTACTCGTAGTCATTTTAGTTGTTCGGAAAAATAGTGCAAGATCTCCGAGTCGCGATAAAGAAGCATGCATAATCTAGGCAACCATCATGCTTGCACCATGATCAATCAAACTACAGCGTCTTTCTTCAACAGTTTAACTACATAAGGCGCAGTGGTTGCATTGACACTCCTTTTTTACGAAGTTTGCCGACAGCGTAAAACAGTTGCGTCGTCCAGGTCCGTCGGAGAGAACTGGTTTGCAACCGTACATGTACTTATACTCTGCAGTTACACCTGATTAAAAACTATGGCTCGGTTTCTGTCTGCATGTTTTGCAGCGTGTATGGTCATCGTAGCAGCGAGCAGCCACTGGGTGGCCTCACTTCCACCAGCGGAGGCGCCAAAAAACTGTACAGCGGATGGTCACACTGCGGCCGAACAATGCATCCAATCTTTCTTTACTATGCTAAAAAAGACGAATACAGAAAAGCTGGAAATGCTGAAACCAGCCTTCACCACCGGTGACTTGAACGTGACCGCTGCCTCCGCTGCAGTTGAATTAGTGTGCGGGTGAGTCAACAAGTTTATTGGTGCCCCTTGTTATGTAATATTTATGTACTGAATTATAAAATTCAACATTAATTTTCAGCTTAAACATAAAACTTATTATTATTTTTAGACCGCTGACTGGAGCGTTTACCTGTATTGAAGAACTGCCGCGCCAATGTTTTGCTCCACTGGATTTGCCCGTGACTCTACATTGGTTTCTGTTTAACCCGCAGATTACCATCAATGCCAGCGACATTCTCCGCCGAATGTGCAGTGTCCCGGATCTTGGCCAGCACTTAATCCGCACTGTTAAATGCAAAGCATTACTGAGCAACCATACCACTTTTAAAACCAATGGTATACTGGGTGAACTTGAGCGTTCAGTAGGGCCACTACCTTTCCCCCAAACCCTGGATAACTTTTTTAATTGGCAGTGCCGGTAAACACATATCCAAATTAACATCTTTCTGATTAATTATTTTCCAGGCTTCCCAAATAGTGCAGGCGTATTGTTACGAGAACTAACTTTTCCCGAATCACACGTTTGTACTCTGTATACGTAGGTAAATTCAACACCAAGTTTGTAGCAAATTTTTTGAATAACTTTCATGCGTAAGTATAACGCTTTAAGAGACTTTACTGTATCGCAAATGCCGTAATCATGACTGAAGGAACCAACGAAAATTGTCCAACTGAGCAGACGGCTTTGCCCGGAAACCTTCCTTAAAGGCGAGCAAAGCGGAATGTGTCACTATGTAATGCAATAAACGTCTGTGACCAGTTCTCGTATGGAAAAGCCTGCGGTAGTTGAAACTAAATAAAATAATTTATATTTTTATAAAGATGGAATAAGTACAGCAAACATAGAGGTAAGAATCCAGCCGTCCCAACTCACCAATTACCATGTTGCAGAGCTAATCATCGTTTAATGGAAATTGTAACCCTGGATCTGGTTGAGACCGTGTGTGGTCCGGATGCTGGTGTCACGTATACCACGTTTTTTCCGCTGGCGCGCGAGTTCCTCTCCTGTTCCGGAAATCGTACGGAAGGAGTCGGCGCGGTCGTCTGAGTACATGAGAAACCCGTTACTGAGTATCTTCTACAGCAACTAAGCGAGTTTTGGCATCGCACTCGAGAAATTTAAATTGAACCGCTGACGTGAGCCCAGAGTCTGAATAAATCAAGCATGCTGTAAACCCAAAGAGAACAAAACAAAAGGACTGTTCCCTATGTTATTTATTGTCCGCAAGCGCACGTCAGCGGCTAATTTAACAAAAAGCAGCAATGAATTACATAACGAAGAAATATCACAAAATGGTTATAAGTTACAGCATACATATGTGCGATTAAAAATATTGAATATACAGTATCTATATTCGAAAGTGTTCTCAACATTTCAGTAAAATCGCTATAGCACTGTATAGTTATACATCATATCTTTTCCAGTGGCGTCATCCATTCAAAGTCGCAACAACTTATGTCCTGCTTCGAAACGGAGCGTCCAACCTGCACATTGCGACTTAATGAGTAAAAAAATACATGCAGTTGTTTACATAGCATAAGAGTACTTAGATGATGAGTAGTAATTACCGAAACCAGGTCCAGACGTATTTCTCTTATTTTAACATTTACGTAGATTTACATTTACACCAAGTACTGAAATTAAAGTGTGATCGGTGCCAAGAAAGGTGATCAGCAACAATAACCGGTGTTGTACAGTATTCAAGGAGGTGCTGTTGAGATGATATTATTAGCAAAAGGAAGGTTACTTCTGTATAAGGTCGCATGTAGATTATTACATTGCATGTTCAGTCACCTGCGCCGCATTATATTGTATTTACAAGCCCAACCTCGGAAAATGTATTATTGAATTCTGATTACTGTTTTATTATTATAATTGTTAACAAGAAACGGCCTCGGCTTCGCCTCCGCTTTTCTTGTGGTCTCCAGTCTACGGCCGGTTTATTCAAATGATTTCGATCAGCTATTTAGTTAACATCTTATTCCTTCAACGAAACAAAATGATCCGAAAATACGCTAAAACGCAGACAGAATAAAAAGTGAATTTATGGCTTTTGTGCACTCAGACGCATTCACTTTCACTCAGAAGGGAATTTTTGTTAACTTCTCCCTCCCGACCTTGATCGAGTCTACCAGGTACTAAATTTCCACTAAAGGATGCTTGCAATAGATGCTGGTTGTAGTTCGGTCACCCGTTTACCTAGCGGTCTGTGTGCTCTGGATAGTAGTGGTAGTTCGGTCACTCGTTTACCTAGCGGTCTGTGTGCTCTGGATAGTAGTGGTAGTTCGGTCACTCGTTTACCTAGCGGTCTGTGTGCTCTGGATAGTAGTGGTAGTTCGGTCACCCGTTTACCTAGCGGTCTGTGTGCTCTGGATAGTAGTGGTAGTTCGGTCACCCGTTTACCTAGCGGTCTGTGTGCTCTGGATAGTAGCGGTAGTTCGGTCATTCGTTTACCTAGCGGTCTGTGTGCTCTGGATAGTAGTGGTAGTTCGGTCATTCGTTTACCTAGCGGTCTGTGTGCTCTGGATAGTAGTGGTAGTTCGGTCACTCATTCACCTAGCGGGCTGTGTGTTCTGGACAGCAGCGGTAGTTCGGTCACTCGTTTACCTAGCGGTCTGTGTGCTCTGGATAGTAGCGGTAGTTCGGTCATTCGTTTACCTAGCGGTCTGTGTGCTCTGGATAGTAGCGGTAGTTCGGTCATTCGTTTACCTAGCGGTCTGTGTGCTCTGGATAGTAGTGGTAGTTCGGTCATTCATGCCTACTTAGCGGTCTGTGTGCTCTGGATAGTAGTGGTAGTTCGGTCATTCGCTTCACCTAGCGGTCTGTGTGCTCTGGATAGTAGTGGTAGTCTGGTCACTCATCCACCTAGCGGGCTGTGTGTTCTGGACAGCAGCGGTAGTTCGGTCACTCGTTTACCTAGCGGTCTGTGTGCTCTGGATAGTAGTGGTAGTTCGGTCATTCGTTTACCTAGCGGTCTGTGCTCTGGATAGTAGTGGTAGTTCGGTCATCTGTTTACTTAGCGGTCTGTGTATATATATATATATATATATATATATATATATATATATATATATATATATATATATATATATATATATATATATATATATATATATATATATATATATATATATATATATATATATATATATATATATATATATATATATATATATATATATATATATATATATATACCCTTATCAAAAAAAAAAACCCTTATCCCTCTGTCTAACCGGCGAACATCCCTGCGCCTTTGTCTGACCGGCGAAAACCCCTACTGCTCTGTCTTTCCGGCGGAAATTCCTACCACTCTGTCTAACCGGCAAAAATCCCTTCCCATTTGTTTAACTGGCGGAAAACCCTCCCCTCTCTCTGACCGGCAAAAATCCATAACACTCGGTTTAACCGGCGAAAATTCCTGCTAATGCATAGATAACGTTGGTGGCGGTTTCGGTAAGGTTTCCGAATATTAATAATTAATGACCTGTGATAAGCCAATCAGCGATGTCCGTTTTCGACATGTATCGTAATCCGAAGTACGAGAATATCAAAATGCCCAACTCGTGTGACTAGTGACTACTTACTGTACATAATTTTCGCCGTGTTTTAAGCCATCTTGCAAAAATCACAACCCAACAGTAAAGAAGCCAGGAAGGAAAAGGTAGAGAAACAGGCCTGTGAGCGGTATTATCGTTTTTCTCCCCATCCCTAAGGTTTTCTTTCTAGCTGTGGTTTTTCTGCACCTACATTTTAGAAACACAGAAGATTCTGCGTTCGACACTAACATCCAACCTCTGCTGGTGTTTTTTTATCACCCATATGTCGTACTGTGTTTTGTTCGCAAAGTAATTCAAAATTTCAAAGAAGCTCCGCTACAGAGGGTGATTTCGCAATATGCTTCCAGCAAGGGACAAAATTCCAAAAAATTTCCCTTTCTATTCTTTTTATTTGTTTGCTAAACAGTCTTGTGGGACAAAGTGTGCCTAATTGTTCAGAACGATTTGTGGAGTTCGAGCGATCAACTTGGCATGAAAAACCGATTGAAGAACAAGGTGCCGTGTGCTGGCGTTATTAACAATTTGTAAAAGCCACAGAAAAGTCGCCGAGCGTTTGATGAGCAAAGGGATCGTTATTTCTCATACTAGGATGAATAAGCTTTTGAAACTGTATGGGCCCGAGAGCGAAGGGAGTGGTTCGCCTGTAAAACGCCTAGGAAATCAGTGCCCACCCAAAGTTCCCACAAAGTCCCTCATCGCCGAGGTCAAGAGGGCTATCTTAATACCGAATCCACCGTCTCAGAGAAAGTTGGCAAGGAAATTTAGGACATCCCAGTACACGATATCGAAGATTATTCATCGTAATCTTGAAGCGAAAGTACGTAAAAAAGGCAAAGTACATGCACTGTCAAATAAGCAGGCAGAACAGCGTGCTTCTCGTGGTCCCCGATTGGCCAAATTTCTGAGCCAGCGAAATTTACTCTACATCATTTTAATTGACGAAGCATAAGTCTATCTTGATTATACGGGCAAGCGAAGAAAGATCTGCTACGAGTTTAAAGGATCCGAAAATTCCGGAAACTGGATGAAATTTTGGATAGTTAAAAAACCACAAGGTGTTACTATTATCGCCAAAATTACTTTATCGTGGCCCAACAGTGATCCGGTTCATTTCTCCCACTGCTAAAATAACCGCCGATTTCTACATTCAAAACGTGTCCAAGCCATTAATGCGAGAAGACTTCCGCCGTCTTTGTCCAAGTGAAGAAAGGAAGGTAGTACTGCATCAGGACCCCGTTCCCGCACATACTCCCAAAAAAACCTGCCAGAGGCTAGCTTCTCCCGGCATCCGATACATTCCGAAGGGCATGTGGCCGAGCAACTCCCCGGACTTTGCATCCATGGATTTTGGAACGAACGGGATTTTTAAAAGAATTTTGTATCACAAGCATGCAACGTCGATTCGCAGTTTGTTAACAGTCGCGCGCCCATCTTTGTATAGAATTTCAATTACCCTGAGCCACCAAATAATTCGTGCCTGGCGTTATCGTGTGGTGTTGATGGCAGAGAAGAAGGGCTTTCAGATAGAGCAAATATTAAAATAAAGTATATGCGGCGGAGATTATAATTAATTTATGAATAAAGTGGAAGCATATTGCGAAATCACCCTCTGTACAAGCACTTCACTGGAAGTTAGGATGCTTTCTGTATACAAGTATTCTTCTTCAGTTTTAACCTTAAATTCCGTGTACCGTAGCTTTTACCGAGTTTTACCGACCGATAACCAGGAATGTCACACCTCCAGCAAACTGCTGTTTTTCGCGCGGATGTACAATCATGTTGTTGCGAAAACTCAGTGTACACATACGATCCGCAAAGGAACTGTTCATAATGAAATACTTATGTACCCGTACAGTCGTTCTAGGCGCTTTGAAAACTAATATTGTAAGATCTCCGATCGTGATAAAGAATGCATGCATAATCTAGGTAACCATCATGCTTGCACTACTGTATTACCGATCATCCAGTGTCTTTCTGGGACTATATAAAGCGTAGTGGCTGCATTAAGACATAATTACATAATTTTGTTCTCTACACACATTAAGCAGTTGCTAGTCCAGGCGCGCCGGTGGAAGCGATTTTGCAGCCATATAATTTCCGCAGTTTTGCTTTGTTTAAAAACTATGGCGCTGTGTATACTTTTCACAGTATGCATGGTAATCATAGCAGCGAGCAGCCAGGTGGCGGTAGCACTTCCCACTACGGAGTCACCAGCCAGTTGTACAGCGGAAGGTAAGACAGCGGCTGAGAAGTGCTTACAATCCTTCGAGAGTCTGCTAAAAAAGAACAGAGAAAAGTCGGAAATGTTGGGAGCAGCATTCGCCACCGGTGACCCCAACGTGACAACCGCCTCCACTGCCGTTGACTTTGTGTGCGGGTAAGTAAATCTACGTCGTATTCAGCAGCTGTACTGTACAGTACTGATGCCTATTATTACATGACCTTTTATGCATTGAATTGTCCACTTGACAATGTTTTTTAACCTGAATAAAAAATACATATTTTTAAGGCCGCTGGCTGGCGCGTATGCCTGTCTTGAGCAGCTGCCGCGTTCATGTTTTTTCCATCTGGATATGATCGTGGCTCTAGACTGGTTTCTGCATAACCCATATATCACAATCAATGGCAGCGAGATTTTCCGCCGAATGTGCAGTGTTCCGGATCTCGCCCAACACTTAATCCACATTGCAAAATGCAGAACAGCTTTGAGCAACAGTCCCGCTTTTAAAACCGATGGCACAATAGGTGAAATTCAACGAGCAATCGGACCGGACCCTGTTCCCCAGACCCAGGATTCCTATCTTGACTGGCATTGCCGGTAATGCGTCGTTTTGATAATTTTCAGCCACTCCGGTGTGCGTTGGTTGAAACTAATTAAAAACCCAAATTATCTGTACAAATTAAAAACTAAATACTGTACAGCACGGAGAGTATTGCACACTAACGGTCCTAACTCACGCGTAAACGTGTTGCAGAGCGAATCGCCATTTACTGGAAATTGTAACCTTGGATCTGGTTGAGACCACGCGTGGCGCGGATGCCGGTGTCACGTATACCACATTTTTTCCGTTGGCGCGAGACGTCCTGTTGTGTTCCGGTAACCGTACGGAAGCGGTCGGCGCAGTCGTCTGAGTAAATAAGAAACCTGGTGCACGAATTCTAACTAAACTTGATCTGGCAGTGCGGCCGACAACTTTTGATGACATCTTCGAGCTCCGAATAAATTATGCCTGTTGTAAAACCATCTAACGAAAGCAGAAAAAAAACAGATTAATAACTGTTTCCTACATTATGCGGGAGCGCAGTCAGCGCACTAAGACGGCTCATATGAACACAATAAAAAAGGGACATAACGAAGAGATAACATATTTCAAAATTAAATCTTAGCGCATTGTAGCATTATAGCAGTAGAAGCGCATGCAGTCATCCTGAAATAAATAGTGTCGTATTTTTATTGACAGCCAAAGATAATTAGCCCGGCAGTGCTTGAGGTATCAAGGAATTTTTTCATACATTTCAAACTCAATTGCAGTATAACGAAAATATACTGATCTTCAATTATTTTTTGAGCAGTTTTCGAACAGTAGTTTAAAATTTAAATGGTAGCTGGAAACTGCTCCAGTTGAGCATTGATGGTACGATACAATAGATAATTAAATTCTATTGTCACGACATATACACAAACTAGAAGAAACTGGAAGTAACACAAAGATGGAAGAAACTGCAAGTGACACTGTAACTGGAAGGAATCCGAAAACGTCGCTGTGTTGTACAACTGCGGAAAACCCGGTAAATGTTGAGTGTCGTCTGCAATTTCTCGTATTTACATCCAGTTACCTAAGCTCAATACACACAACATCAATCAATACACATTAAAGTAAAGCATAACAGTTGTAAAAGGCTATTTGTGCATACAACACCAGCACTACGTCAGTAAAAAGTTACAGTAGACAAACTGTGCGATTAAAAAATCAGGAAGAGCAGCAAAAAGCATTCCGAATGACTGTTTCAGTGAAATCGCTGTAGCGCAGGAAGTATACGAGTAACAGTACTGACACCCTGCACTCGGAGAAAGTTTTAGCTGTGCAGCCACGCGTACGTTGTACGACCGCATTCACAGCTCACTCACACAGCTTGCAGCTGCATGTGAACTGCTGGCTACTGGCTGAACGCAATCGGCTTTACTTCCCTTTGGCTACATAGGGATAACTTTATTGACAAATTGTACAAGCTAAAAGCCATTTACACTTGAACTTGGTAAACCAATTTAGAACAAAAAGAACAGTTCTTCAAGCTGTTTAGAACACCCAACCGTTCCCAGAACAGAAGCAGCGTTCCCGCGCTGAATTTCCACACTTAGACGTTGCCACAAAAATTCGGTGGCGCGCGCTTCTCCTGTTTGCTCTTTAATGCGTCGGCCAACTTCGTTGATGAAATGACGGGTACTACCGCCGCAACTTCCCATCGTTTCGAGGGCGATTGGTTCGAAAAAGTGTCGATCAGTCAGTTCCGAGTAAAGGTTTCTTTTTCGTGTTTCCGCGTCATCAGCTGCAGATCTGGCTACATACGACGTAGCGAACGTGTCAACAACCGTCACATCCCAAATCAGAGGAAGGCCATTTTTCCAAGGAAAGAGTGATAAGCCATCCGGCCGTTTCCCATCTAATCTGCTCAGTCCGGGCGGTTCCAAGATTGTCGGCACCTTTGCTGAACCCAGACTCCGTTGGATTACACTGTTCAGACTGGCGTGCCGCCTGAACCTTCCTTGACTTCTTATGCACGACAGGCCATGTAAGCCAAACGCGTCAACCATTTCCCCACAACGGCATTTATGCTCCTTGCATACTGGTGCACCCATCCGCAAAGCAACAGCGATCCGCAGACCGGCATCGTCCAGCAATGTGCCAAGGCTAGCAACCGGTAGCGCAAACAACCAGGCACTGGCATTCTTAGTGGAGACAGCCAACAAACGAGCAGATGCAATAACGTCGGCACTCTCCATTAAGGCGTCCAGTTTCCCGGCAGTCAGCATATCCGACCACAAGCGTTGGTTACTCCGGTCTTCTAACGCTGGTGCACCCTTTCCTGTACGTTCCTGCCAGTATAACTCAACGTCAGACCGATCATCGGGGCAATCTTCAGGCACCATAGTGCGTACTAATTCGTCGGTCGAATATAGCGAGGAGAGATAGGCCGGCGTTGCGATTTCTTCGGCTTTAGGCAGTCCCAAGCCCCCATACTGGACCGGCAGAGTAGCTTGCCCGTAAGTGCATTCATCCATCTTAACATTCGTAATCTCTTCCGCTTTCGACCTAATCACGTGGTCGAAATCTTTTAGCTTCTCCGGATATTTGTTGCAAGGGGCCGCTCTTAGCGTATACATAAGCCTTGGGAGCGATAGACTGTTTCTAAGGAGGAATAGCGCCTGCTGCGCCGGCAAGACGCTCAGTGAATCTGTCAGTTTTTTGATTTGGTCAATTTTGCCGTCCAAGCAGCGGCCGATTGACCAGTCCGTAAGAGGAGCACCAAGCAGTTCCAGTGTCTCTGGAGTCACCCTTTGAATTCCAGGTGCGACGACGGCAAATCGGTCATAAATATCCTGCTGCTCCGCTTCAGTCCCGCCATAAATATACAACTCGCACTTTGCAAAGTTAATCTCTAAACCAATTTTCGGTGCATCATCACAAACCCTAATTGACCAGTCCGTAAGAGGAGCACCAAGCAGTTCCTTTGGCTACAGTGCCGTACTACTGATACTGTACAAAACTTCTCCGAGTGCAGGGTGTCAGTACAGTAACTTAAAAGTGTAGCGCACTGAGCGGACAATGCAATTAGGGAGAGAATTAATTTTTTTTTGGCAGTAGGTAGCTCTCGTTTTACTATTAATAGGTCTACACCTGCGATTTTACACTTGGTTAAAGAAAACGAAACGCAGACCGACGGTCACCAGTGAGAATTGAACCGCAATCGCAATCCGACATCCCAGTTGGGCATGTAGTGTACTCTGTACTTGCTCACAATGTCATATTTTCGTTTCTATTTCAGAATTGTTATTGTTGTGCCGCTTAAATAACTGCTATAACCGAATAATTGCACTCGAAAAGCAATACGTTGCTATAAGTAGAAAAATAGGCGGTACGCGTATTCTTCGGGATTACTGATCGCACATTCTTTGTACTGTAACTTTTACCGAGTTTTACCAACTGATATCCAGGAATGTCATACATGCTGCAACCGAAGGTGTACATTTTATTGCTAGAAATCAACGTACAAAAGCAAGCCGTAAAGGAACTTTTTATGATGGAGTACTAGTACATTCATTTTTGCTGTTCTGAAAACTGGTGCAAGATCTCCGCTTGTGATAAAGAATGCATGCATAATCTAGGGAACCATCACGCTTGCACCATGATCCACCTGTGTCTTTCTTCGGCTATATAAAGCGCAGTAGATGTTTAGTGATATTATTCGTTCCCTACACCGGCAACATAAAGCGGTTGCTTATCCAGGTGGAAAGCGATATTGCAGCCACATATTCCTTGCAGTTTCGTCTCATTAAAAATTATGGCACCGCGTATCTGTTTTATGGCATGCCTCGTAATCGTAGCAGCAAGCAGCCAAATGGTGGCTTCACTTCCAACGACGGAGTTGCCAAAAAATTGCACAACAGAAGATCAGACAGCGGCTGAACAGTGCCTACAATCTTTCTACGCTCTGCTAAACAAGAACAGAGAAAAACTGCAAACACTCGAAGCAGGCTTCGCCACCGGTGACCCCAACATGACCACTGCCGCCGCCGCAGTCGAGTTTGTATGCGGGTAAGTCGACAATGCAACCAGCAATTTTACTGGTACTTCTTGTTATGAAATACTCAAATGCATATTTAATTACCCAGCCAACACTAATTTTTAGCCTAAACAGATAATAATTGCTCATATTGCTTTAGACCGCTGGCTGGCGCGTTTACCTGTCTTGAACAGCTGCCGCGTCCATGTTTTTCCCACTGGATATGACCATGGAGCTTCATTGGTTTCTGCACAACCCGCGAATTACTGTAAATACCAGCGACATTTTCCGCCGAGTGTGCAGTGTTCCAGATCTGAGCCAACACTTAATCCGCATTGTTAAATGCAAAACAGCACTTCCCACTTTTAAAGCCGATGGCGTTTTGGGTGAAATTCAGCGTGCTATTGGCCCAGCCCCTTTTCCCCAGACCCTGGATAACTTTTTTGATTGGCAATGCCGGTAAATAAAAATGTCCAAATTTGGCACCGTTTAAAATATGTAATTTCCAGAATCTCCATGTAGTAGTGCAAACTTATTGTTACAAGACCTTGCTATTCCCAAATTTCTCGTAATGTACTTACCACATTCAAAAAACTAAGACTTAGTGTGCAATAAATTTTCTGAATAATTTTTCTTTCGTATGTATCCTAAATAATAATCTTTTTACAACATTATAACCCCATAACGAAAACTGTCCCATTTTTAAAAAAACTGGTTTCCCCGAAAAAGTATCTAACAGAAAGTTAAAAGTTAAAGCTATTATACCACTAGGCTTTAGCTAATGTATATAAAAATAGTAGTAATGTGTAGCATGGTTTTAATTTGTCGGCTAATTCGCCACTGCGAATGCGGAATACGTAATGCACTAAACGGCAATAGCCGGTTCTCGTACTAATGAAGAAAGAAGGTAACTAAAGGTCCCGACTAACGAGTGACCATGTTGCAGAGCGAATCACCATTTAATGGAAACTGTAACCCTGGATCTGGTTGAAACCACGTGCGGTGCGGATGCCGGTGTCACGTACACCACGCTCTTTCCCCTGGTGCGAGACGTGCTTTCGTGTTCCAGTAATCGTACGGAAGCGGTCGCCTGAGTACATAAGAAAGCCGTTACATTTTTCCTCTAACTGTCTAACTGCAAGTTCTGGCAATTCAGCCGAGAAAATCAAATTGAATCTTTGAGGTCCTTTTATCTTTGAGGTTGTACAACCATTAACCATCTGACAAGAAGAGAATAAAATAGGACTGTTCCCTATAATATTATTGTCTGCAAGTGCATGACGGCGGCTGCTTTAACGAAAGGCGACATAATACGCGTATACGATAGCGAGAAAATATCACAAAATCGTTAAAAGTTAAGGTATAAATAATGTGCGCTTAAAAATCATACAATATTTGAAAGTATTCGCAACATTTCAACAAAATCGCTGCAGCATTGGGTAGTTGTACATTATTCTCGCATCTTTTCAACGGCGTCGCCGATCGATAAATTGGTAGCGTAACATGTTATCTCATGCTTCGAAACGGTGTCCCCAAATTAATTGCACTTTGCGAATACAAAAAGCACGCAGCACGAATACATGCAGCTGTTTACTTAAGTTCGGGCGGTAACCACTATAGTGATTACCGAAACCCTATACACAGGGACCTAATTTAACATTTACGTAAATAAACAGAGCACCAAGTTCTACTGAATAGGTTGGTATTAAAATTATACGTAATACTCGTATGAGATCGGTGGCAAGAAAGGTGATCAGCAACGATAATTGCTGTTCTACAATATTCAGGGATGTGCAGATGGCCGTTGGGAAACCCCGTATGCATAAGCCAGGGGGGATCTTTCGATGATACAGTACAATCATCCTAGTTGTTCCGAAAATCATTGTAAGACCTCCGGGTCAAGATAAAGAATGCACACATAATCCAGAGAACCATCTTGCTTTGGCCATGATCAACAGGCTAAATGCCATTAGTTTGTTCGTATGTCGACTGCTATACGTATTAATGCCGACTGCGGGTATTCAGGTCTGTCGGGTGAAAACAGATTGTGCCTCCGTATAATTCTTGCAGTGCCTAAAACGTGCCTAAAACTATGACTCTGCTCATACTAATCTTTTGGTGACCACTCCGTACACACCCTTTCACGCCCTTTTACTCCGTACACAACCTTGTGCACTGCCTTTCATTCCGTGCACAACCTTTTCGGGCACTGCATTTCATTCCGTGCACAACCTTTGGCACTACCATTCACTCGGTACATTCATTCACTCGGTACGTCACTCGGATGAACCGCCGATTAACGGAAGTTATCACCGTGGATCTGGTTAAGGTCATAACCGAGGATGCTGATGTTACGCGTACCGCGTTTTTCCGGCTTGTGCAAGAAGGTCTTGTGCTTGTCTTGTCAGGCATTATCGTATGTATTACATTTACGAAGTTTATTACTACTGCTACAATTAAAAACCAATATATTCTGTATTAAATGTCGTATTCTGAGTGGCAAACAGAACCAATTAATGAAAAGCAGCTCGAATTACGTAATTCTATTTAATTTTTTCGTATGCGACGGGGAAAAATAATATTATCAGCAAAAGGCGTTACTTCTGTAAAATGTTGCATATTAATTTTTCAATGCCTGCTCAAATCAGCCATGCCGCATTGTACTAATATCATGATGTCTGGGAAAGCCTTATATACTGAACTCCGGCAATCAGTGTTTGAGATATCTGCCTGGAATATTAAATTGTGCTCATAGTGTAATTTTAGGCGGTAGTGCAGAACACCATGCAGAAAAGCCTCAGTTCGACAACGAAACTACTTTACGTACCGCAAAAGCTGCTGCGCTGCTCCCGGCTTTGGACGGATTTTATTTTTAAAAATGCTCTCACCAAAAAATTATCTCGCAGTCGCCTTCATAAATGATTTTTATATTCGGTATAACTTGTACTGTACCAACAGGTTATAACAAAGGTCAAACCGCTGCGCAAGGCCATGCCCAGACATTGTAGGCGCGGACTGAATGCTGTCAACAGGTAATCCAAAATCCAAATAAGCCGCAATGAATCTGTTAGGATAGAGCACAAGTGTTCCAATTGCTTTAAAAACTAATTGAGTGATTTTTTAGTCCTGATAACGGATACAAAGAATGCACGTATAATCCAGTAAACCATTAAGCCTGCGCCTTGATCGGTCGAGGCCAGTGCATTTTCTCTACGACAGCTACTCGTAGGGCGCGGTGGTTGCATTTATACAGCGATAACGTGCCATAATCGCGCATCCATGTCAGTTGGTGAAAGATAATTTCGCAGCAACAGTAATAACAGCTAGATATATCTTTATTCACCTGTGGTACAACGTGTTATTACATAATCAAAAAACATCACAATTTTTACAACATTAAAACTTCGTTTAACTTTTCTGCTCCTTCCATTGTTCCCAAAACTGAGGCCGCGTTCCCCCGCTGTATCGCCAACGACAATCTTTGACGTAGAAATCCATGGGAACGCTTCTCCCCTGTTTGCTGTTCCAGTCGTTTGCCCGGTTCTTTGATAATGGCGATGGCGGCCGGGCCCCAAAGGCCCATTGTTCAAAAGCTATCGGAGCAAAGATATACCTGCCGAACAAGTACGCATACAGCTGCGCCTTTTTTCCTCCGCTTCCAACGCAGCTGCACCTGCGTTTGCCGCCGTAGATTTAAGGTGGGAAGGCGCAACAGTATCCACACAAGTGACATCCCAAGCTGAACACATTCCTCTCTGCCAGGCAAAGGTTGTGCAGCCGTCAGGGCGTCGTTCGGAAGATGCCAAAAAAACTGTACAGCAGAAGGCCAGGATACGGCCGAACATGCTCGCAATCCTTCGACATTACGATGCAGATATTCTCCGAGAAGCTAATCATGTTAAAAAGGGCCAATTCACCGCCGGTATCCTCAACGAGGCCACTGCGTCAGCAGTAACGAACTTCTTATGCGGGTAAGTAAATTCGCAATCGACTGCACTTTTCCGAAGCATATGGTGTTGCATATATAATTATGTAGTTTGCTAATTATCAAACCAGAATGTCAAAATTAATAATGGCGTATAAAATTCAGACCGCTAAGTGACGCTCTCAACTGAACTGACGCTTGTGCCTCCTCGATCAGTGCCCTTTACGGCTGCCACCGGCCCTGCCTGGATTCTGGCTGCAGGTCCATATCAGCGACATTGTCCGTCGCACATGTCGTATTGCGGACCTCAGCCAACACTTATTAATTTTCAGGGCAGTGGAATGCAAGAAAGCACTGAACAACCTCCTTACTGTTCAGAACGAGTTTCTTCGTGCAAGCGGCTCACTGAACAAGGACAGCCGCTCCCTCGTTGTGGTTATTCTTGACTGGCAATGCAGGTGAGTACTGCACATGTACAGATACTACAGAATCGTTTGAAGAAAATCCAGTTCTGCTCAATCTGTCGCTATTTGAAACAGCTTTCGTAATGTGCAGTGAACCGCGTACAGATACGTACGTACGCTCTCATGCAGTGGTCATTAGTAAGGGTATAATGGGCATCCCGATCCGGCTACCGACTATGTAGTGGCGCGTTGTTTTTTTAATGTTTTCATAATTATGGCGCTTTGCAGCCGCTGTTTACGTGGGTTTATTATAGCGGTACAGTCGCGTGCCCTTCTGCAGTTTATGCAAACTTAATACAGTAACCGAGAACTTCTTGGCATCTTTCAGTTCGCAACTTCTCATACTAATCAACCTGCGTACGCGCTTGGTAGAGATACATTACGTCGTAGCAAGTACCTCGTGTAGACTCCGAAGCAGCAAATGCAGGAATTGTTTATTGTGGTCCCGGGTGGGCACTGGTGCAGATAGATCCATCGACGTTTGACGGAGGTTAAAACCGTGGATCTGGTTGCGACTGCCTGTAGCGCAGATGCTGGTATCTCATATGCTTTGTTATATCCGTTGGTGGAAGAACTTCTTTATTATCACTACGGGTACCAGTTAGCGCTTGTGGTGCGGACAGAGTACTTGACAAATTAGACCCGAAATTACACTTCAGGAAGCGTCAAAAATGTTATACACGGCTTGAAAACCTATTAATCTGATCAGTGTTAAAGAATTTGTTTGAAAATTGAAGTGCATATTTAAATGTTTTCTAGCGATGTAGCTGAAAAATTCAAATTGTACTCTGCGCTCCGGATAATAAACTATACGACTTACGAATAATATCATTATATCTACAGCTGCTATATAACCTATTCTGTGCATATTAAGTAGTCGAGAATAGTTATTTTTGAATAATATATAGTTTATATAAAAAATAAGGCGAATGATGTTTAATAAGTCGCAGCATTTAAGCCGTATAAGAGCTATCTTGTCCAAAACCGTAGATAATTATGCCCTGAGCAGCCATCGTTCTACGGCTTTTTGTACATCTCTTCGATTAACTTCTGCTGACGTGCGACACGTGAGAAATTATTGGAAAACACATTCAAATTCGAGCCAGCGGTGTCCTATTGGACATCTACATAAAAAAAGAGCAGTACAAAAAGAGCAGGACCATTACGCCCATTGTTAAAAACAGTTTCATGTATGTTTCCAATTGATATACCATTCGAACAAAGCATAACTCATTTCTGCACAGAGCGGAAAATACTACAAAAAAACTAGAGTACAAGAAAACCTAATCGAAAAAATGTCCAGAACTGCCTTAAAAGATCCACGCATCTTCCAGGTCAATTAAGTTCAGGTGTTTATATAATTATGCCCAAGTGCCAGCCGAACACTCCAGGCTTACCATTAGAATTGAGAACTCTTGATTTCTCCGTGCAGTAAGCGCCCCAGTGTTCATATGCTGATACACATGCAAGTCAATGAATAACTGCATTCAGTACGGTAGCTACCGTTGTCACATGTTACTGATACAACTTGTCTGAAAGACTGCTTGTTAATTTTAGTACGGACCCTCAAATTAGCCGGTAATCAATATTCGCACCATTTGCATGTACCATTTGTATGCGCAATGTGTTTTGGATAAACCTTTGCAAACCGCAAATTAATCATTTCAGGTTCATCTACAAAACGCTAGGCAAGTACCGGAGAATCCGCCCGAAAAGGTTGCTCATACAGTTGGCCGGGAGTATTTTCACTGAAAGGTTAAGAATACTTTTTGCAATTAAATTAGTTTCCTTTCGTAGTAATTTTCACACAACCCAGTGTAATTTATAGTATGTCAGTACAGTACTTTGTAGTTTGTATCAACCGACGCAAGGAAAAGTCCCACTGATATCCGCGGAAGTGCTTGTTGCCGGCAGATGTGAATGTTAGTACAAATCGATACGCAAAGCTACTTCTTCCGATACAGTACACTCGTCTTGATTACTACTCATTCTGAAAACCAAATGCGAGATCTCTTGGTCGTGATAAAAATTGCACAGGCAATCAAAGGAGCCGTTTTATTTGTATCATGATTAATTTCCGCGGTACCCAGACAACACATCAGCAGCGGTTGCATGAGTTCTTCAACAACGACATAAAACGTTCACTACTCGACCAGCTTGAACCAGATTTAAAAAGGGAATAATTCTTGACGTAAATGAATAAAATTATGGCTCTGCGCATTTATTTTATAGCGTGTATGCTCATCGTCGCAGCGAGCAGCCAGCAGACGGTATCAACATCGGCTGAGGTGGTGAGCAACTGTACAATAGAAAACGAGATAGCGGCGGAACAATGCTCGCGATCCTTGGACACCGTATTCCGGGCGCACACCGAACCAATGATAATTGTCGATACATCCTTCGCCGCTGGACTTACCCTCAACGAGACCACTGCTGCAACTATAACTGACTTTTTATGCGGGTACATGTATATCAAATCGCAACTCCTTTGCTAATGTTTCCTGTTACATACTACGTACGATGTATATTTGTATATTTAATATACATGCATAAATAAAATACATATACATAAAATATACATATATTCTTATATACATATATGCATATGTATACAATGTATGTAGATATACATAGCATGTATATGCATTTATATGTAGATATAATACGTACACCTACACATACATACATAAAATATGGTCAGAAGATAGAATAATTGCTTATACTTTGTAGACCGTTGGCAGATGCTCTCACCTGTGTTGGACAAGGGCCGCCTCAATGTCCTATTCCACGGCCATGGAACTGGCGCGTATTCTGGCCGCAGGTCAATGTCAGCGACATTGTCCGCCGCACGTGCCGTATTCCGGACCTCGGCCAACACCTATAATCCGCACTTTCACCTGCAAGAAAGCACTGAGCAACCTTCCCACGGTTAAAAACGAGTTGATTGGGGCACTGGAATCATTTCCTGCACGGGGTCATACTTACACTGCGGATTTTCTGGATTGGCAATGCCGGTAAGTACGCCACGTTCATCACAAGTTTGGTTGTTTCAGCCTGTCTGTATTTGACATCATGGTGCACCGCTTACAGATCGGTAATAAGAACAAATCTGTACTATACAGTAAACACAACAGGAAGATGTCTGTCGCTGCATGGTTTCGACAGCGGCAGAGATTTTTTTATTTCGACATTTGCCACTTCTTAACTTCTCATAACAATAAGCCTGCGCTGGTTGACCCAAGTCGAAATATTTCAACGTAAACCGTGAAGAGAGGCAAATGCAGACTTTTTAACTGCGATTACGAATGGGTATCGTTATTCGTTACAGATTGCATCGGCGTTTAATGAACATTGTCACCCTGGACGTGCTCAAGGCAGCGTGTGGCGAGGATGCCGGTGTCACCTATGGTCCTATACCACGTTATTTCCGCTGGTGCAAGAAATTCTTTACTGCCCTGGGATCTGATTAACGACTTGTGAAGTGTGATACGGCTGTGGTCGGGCGCGCCACTTCCGAGTATTTGAGAATAGTAACCCAAAAAAATAAATATGTGTTACACTCCATCTTTTTAATCCAACTTTTAACCAGCCGTGTCTGACTGCGCCGTAAGAATTATGGATTGAAATAAGAGACATTTCTAACCTAATACGTACGATAACTGTTAAAGATTTTCCTCCGTATCTAGATAATCTGTAATCGAGAACTAACAGTAATACCGCATATATACTTCGGAACCATAATAATATTCGTAACATCTATGTATAAAACTAACAGTAACGTGTTCTATGCTGAATATGAGTTACGTGCAGTGTGAAACTTTTTTCTATTTCTGTGGGCAAGGATTTGTTAATTTTTTTGGTAGTCCGTTTTGCAATCCATCAGCAACATTTTACATAAAAAGCCTGTCCAAATTTTATCATTATCATGCATCGAAAACTGGAATAACGCAGCAAAAAAACGGACCGCTACGCCCGTGATTAAAAAACGATTTCACATTCCCAATTGAAATACCATTCCAGCATCGCATTCAACACAATCACTTATTCATTTCTGTACAGCGATAAAAAATTAACAAAAACAAACGGATGAAGTGCAACGAAGCGACAGCAAAACAGTGCAGAAACCATCCCATAAAACGGCGGAAACATCACAAACCGGCCGGTGACTGGTTGTCCTGGCGTTTCTTCTTGCGCTCCTCCTGCAGCCGCTCGAACAGCCGCATCACATCCGCCGCCTGCACTTCCGCCTGAGCAATTCAAATCAAATCATCATGCGTGCAATTTAATTCAACTGGTTTTAATTTTGCGTATAAGTTCATAACTGTCATTTTATTAAATTAGAAAAATATTATTTATTACCATGTTATTTATTTACAGATAAATCTCATGAACCAGTACACAGCAACTTGCTTCAATTTATACAAGAACAAGCCATAACAGTTAGAATTGCTCTAAACGTTTCACCAAATTACTATTGTATTGTACAATTACTGTAAATACAATTTTTTCCAGCGGTAGTGTATTAATTATCGAGAGAACGCTGGAACTTTGCTCCCGTCGAAATTTATATGGACCGGTACTCGAAATACCGGACATCATGTACTTTAAGAAACTCTCTACAGAGCGCCGCAAAGGCACAAACAGACAACTAGCACGTCACAGATTTTTAAAAAAATTATCACCAGAAAATCTCGAGACTATGCAAATCATTGTCGAAAAAACTGGAAATTCGTAAATAGCTAAATCCACGCTCACGCCTGACTTCCACTTAATTATTCTCCACAATAAGCAAGAAAAAAACATACATTTCTGAATTTCTGTTATGAATACATGACTTTTATTATTGAATTTATACTATGATTAATTTTACAATCACTTTCGTAAGTACTGAATTCCCACTAAAACAAATTTTATTGACGGCAGTGTGAATATTGGTTAGCTACACATTTACGACGTCTCACCTGGCCTTTTTCCGACATTTCCCGCGCCAGTGACTGCATGCCATCCTTCAACTCCTGCCGCATCTGAGCCACGCCTAATCAAACAAAAAATTTGTTCTGACAATTAAAAAATAAATATGCCTGAGTTAATGCACAGCCTTTATGTACGATTAAACGATTGCTAGAACTGGATATCCTCATAGCGCTTGCTTCTCTTTCGCCTTCCTGCAGTATCGATACCACAAAGCCCTTTTACTTATCCTTCTATTTAAATTTTATACACAGCTGACGCTTTCGCATATTTTCTCTGTTTGTTTAAGAAACACTCTAAAGTGTCATAAAAATTACTGCAAATTTCCTTATTAAAAAAATCTCAAAACTGTTCATTCAGTCTAAAAATTTCCGTTCTCCAGAAATCCGTAACCAATTAAACTCACACAATCTTATATTTCTTTTGGCCATACAACAACTAACACCGATGAGCGCCTATTGCGTGCTGCCATTATTCTACGACTTTCACTGTCTCCATCCGTACTGCCTCCACGAAATATCCAGCACGTCGACGGAAAAAATTCAGCAGTGCAATATTAAAAATTGCGTTTAAAACGCTGATCGTACTGTTGATATGATCATTTGCAAATTAATGTGAAAATGCTCAAAGACAACGGAACAACGGCACAGCAGATGCAGCTAGGCTAATGTATTCACTTACGGTTGGCGAACTCAATCTGCCCGTAGCGATCCAGCTCGCCCATGAGGAACTGCGTGTGATCGACATTATCCAGCCGGCCTTTCTCCTCCTGGATCTTCTCGCGTCCTTTAGCCTCGTACTCCCCGGCCGAATCATCTCCATCCATCAGAAACTCCACCTCTTCTTTCTTGTACAGTTCCTGCGCGAAAACACAGCATATCTGCGAGGCAATTCGCAACGCAAAACGCACTGGATACACGAACAAATATTTTTTAAAAAAATTATAGGAAAATTATGCAGATAACCGTTGTAACTGGACAACGAAAAACCAATTTAGAAAAATCACTAACCACTGTTTCGAAAAGAAATGCGAATTCTCTCTACTATCAACAAGCGCACGTTTAATGCTTCTTACGACACACACTACATAATAGACCACTGCACTACAATTACATCTCTAGAACAGATTTCGGCCCTTTATGCAATACACTGTAACATAGGCGCAACGAAAGCAACTTCATTCATAGTTTAAAACATCAACCTTTATCGGTACGGACAGTACGAGTATTCAATCATTGCGGCTTCTTCGGTAGTTAGATGAAAGAAAAAAAGCACATAATATGCAATACCTGGCAAGGAGGACAGCGGCAGAGATTCTCGTACCATTCGATGGGCGTCCACGCCGCTTCGTCGATCGCACTGATGTCCGGATACATTTTCTCCACGTATTTCAGCGCACAGCCATCAATCTGGTATTTCTGCAGAAGATTCATATAAAAATTATTCAGTTTATTCCTTTTCTTGCGCATCCGCTGCGCCGTGACGCAGTTTTCACTTCTGGCTATTTTAGTCTCTCCGTAATCCGTATAAAGCGAAATTTAAAAACTATAAAACAATCCAATATTTCTCGCTTACAGCATCCGCTAAAATTTCCATTACCAATTTTCACATTATCAATAAACGCTTTTAAAAAGCCTTCAGTTTTCTTCAGTTTTTATCGTCATTAGGTAATAATCATATTTTCCAGACATTTATAAGAGAAAACTTAAAACTATTTAAAAGCGTTGCTTATAATATTATACACAGCTTTTTACGCGTAACATTTAATAAAATTAAACCTTCGTTTCGCTTGAAATTTGCAATAACGAGGGTTTGTAGTGCTCATTCACTTACGGGATCGAGCGGTTCAAACTGGTAGTCCAGCGCCGTCTCGGCCAGGAGATAATGCCCGAGGAATTTGTGTTTCTGCAGACACTGCAAGCAGATCAGCGAGCGCGGCACCTTCAGCTTCTCCTCCACATCGCTGATGTCCTTCAGCACGTGCGCCAAATGCAGCCAGTCCTCGCAGACGATGCACTGCACCTGGACGCCGCAGAAATTGGCCGGCTCCTGGGGATCCGGATACGGTCGATGGCACACGCAGTACGCGTTGCTGAAATTCTATCAACACAAATAAAATTTATTAAAACAAAATCAGCAATACGTAATTAAATAATACAATTTTTCTTTGACGGTTTTTCTTGAATTCTACTGCAAATCAATTTTTGGAAATTCGAAAAATTATGAGTATATTATGCATTTTCACTAGCATTCATAAGCGCTCCTATTGGAACAACATTACAGTATAAATGCGTAGTCTGCGTATCACAGTGACAGTATACAACAACATCGTAGTGCACTGGCACAGAATACTCACCGATCATGCAATCGTTGCGTACATTATAGGAAAAACCCTAATTCGCTTACAGATTTTTTTAAAAAGATCTGATTTTAAAATAACACTTCAACAGCTCGTTTTTCGCATAAACGGGCAAGAATAAATTTATCAACACAAACCAACAAAATTCGCACAAATTAAAAAAAATTTAGTTGCCCCAAGCGTTGAACTCAACCAAAATGTTTCAAGCCAGCAATTCCACATCGCTGAAGCACGTGCGCCAAATGCAGCCAGTCCTCGCAGACGATTGCACCTGACGCCGCAGAAATTGGCCGGCTCCTGGGATCCGGATACGGTCGATGGCACACGCAGTACGCGTTGCTGAAATTCTATCAACACAAATAAAATTTATTAAAACAAAATCAGCAATACGTAATTAAATAATACAATTTTTCTTTGACGGTTTTTCTTGAATTCTACTGCAAATCAATTTTTGGAAATTCGAAAAATTATGAGTATATTATGCATTTTCACTAGCATTCATAAGCGCTCCTATTGGAACAACATTACAGTATAAATGCGTAGTCTGCGTATCACAGTGACAGTATACAACAACATCGTAGTGCACTGGCACAGAATACTCACCGATCATGCAATCGTTGCGTACATTATAGGAAAAACCCTAATTCGCTTACAGATTTTTTTAAAAAGATCTGATTTTAAAATAACACTTCAACAGCTCGTTTTTCGCATAAACGGGCAAGAATAAAATTTATCAACACAAACCAACAAAATTCGCACAAATTAAAAAAAATTTAGTTGCCCCAAAAGTAAGCGTTGATTCTATTATAAATCAACCGATTAAAAGTAAAGCATGATCCCGAGAAATAACCAATACGAGCACGCGCGTTTCATAAAAATATAGACTGACAAAATATGCGTGAAATGTTAAGAATTTAGGCAAAATAAGAAGAAAGTCAAAACAGGAAAGACACACAGAGATGGCAAGGTAAAACCACTGATCGCCAAAAATCTGAACAATTAACTGTTACTTGCCTGATTATACTGGTTCTGCTCGTTGATGGCGTCCTTCTCCGGAATCAGCTTGCAGGCCACACCAGAGAATCGCGAATTACCACAGTCACAACGGAAATTACTACAAAAATACAGCACACAGAATATCAAAAGAAATTCCCCAAAACTCGATAATTGTGTGAATTTCGTTACTACAAGTCCAGTACAACATTAAAGTAATGAACAGCCAAAAGCAGGGCCCTTCAGCTTGATCATACGAGAAAACTTTCGGCCCTTCAGCTTGATCATACGAGAAAAAGTCGCAAAGGCAAAACAAATCATTTTACGAAGCGAGCATTATTGCCTGAATTCTCATATTCCGCCGATAATGCAGCGTTACAATTTCCCCATTAATAATGCTTCCAAATTAAGTCTATACGCGAACACTGCGGCACAGAATGCTTATTATACCCCAGAGATAACATTTGCGGTTATCGTGAAAAACTGGCTAGAATTTGCGCGGGTATGGCAAATGAAAGAAACTACCGGGATAATCGCAAAGTAATTAATTAACCGAAAGCATCCCAGACAATTTTTATGGTGACGAATTGTGTTAAATCCAAACTCACGATAGTAACTGTTAAACTGTTGATGGCTTTATTGAAATATTTTCTTTATATTCAAAATGTCAATTCCAAAATGTAAATGACAACAGCTACTGAATGTTTGCATTAGTTTTTCACGATACAGGTCCGTCACAAACAGCTTTTTTTTCAAATATCACGAGCAAAATAATGGTCGATATTTACACCGCTGTTGTGAATAAAATTTCAAAAACGCATTTCTCTGTTACCACCCATGCCTTCCATCACGTTCTCCTTACCGTTTTGTGTACAATTCCACGAGATCATGATCTTCATGGCACGCATAGGAGCACGCCAAACCTGGCGAATATTATCCAATATGTTAATGGAATATCGCGACAATGTGAGAACCAATAAGACACTTCAACAGAGCGTAGTATCTTACAGATTCCGGCAACTTCTCCCGACGCTTTTTGGCAAGTCAGACACGAGTACAGCGCTTGTCGTTTCACATAACCCTAAATAAATACGACAAGGAATTTCTGTCAACAACATCAACACGAAATAAATATAAAAATAAAATGTGTGGCGCAAAAAACGTCATTAAAAAGTGAAAAATACTGCACACGCTATGATTAAGGACCTGGATTTGGTGCAGTGTACCGTGCATGTACAACAAGAACAACAAACCATGGAGCGGGTAAGACAAACAGAAAAACCGATACTCTTATACTATTTAAAAATACCGTCAAAATTAACGCAACAATATTCATTATACTGAAATTAGTCTGAAAATGTATGGAAGTATGCGCTAGTGAGAATATCCACTGTTCTACGGCTCACTACGATACTGGAATTTTATGAAATGCTCGAGACATTTCCGGGCCGACATTGTGAGCGACAAAAAAGAAACTTGTGACGAAATTGTCAATTTCATAGTACACAAGAGTGACACGACGGAGAAGAATGCGTACTACAATTTATTTACAAAATAATGCAAAACAAAACAAGAAAACGAAATTCCGCGGATGATCACTGATTAGAGAAATATATTTTTTTAAAATACCTAATCTTAATTCCAAGTTAGTAATTACAGAAAACTATAATACTACACTTTCAGCAGTACTGGACCACATTTTATTTTTTTCCGATATTATAATTATGCTATAAAACTATAAAAGCGGCGAATAATCATAAGTTAAAACAGTTGTTAATGCAGATTAATTTGCATTTACGCAACTGCTTTCGGTCCAAACATTGTTAAAAAACTAGAACAAAAATTTCACCGAAAACCGGTCTTTTGCGAGTCTCACCTTGGAATAACTGCACTCATCCTCACTACTACCCCCTAGCACCGCGGCCACCGCGTCCTCGTCCTCGGAATCCATCAGACTGCTCTCCTCCCCCTCGGCCCCCTCCGCCTCCACGACCACACCCCCCTTGGTCTCGGCGATACACTGTCCGATGATCTCCCCGGCCAAAGCCGAAATGCAGTACTTCTTCACGGCCTCCCCGTTGACGCTGGGCGCCAGGGTGACTTTGGGGAAATGATTGACGGCACCCCGCGCCTCCTGGGATCCCGAAGCCTGTCCCGCCGTTCCCGGTTGGGAGGCCTCCACCGTCGAGGAGCTGACGATGGATTCCGATGTCTTTTGCATTTTACGCAGGTTTTCGTGGCTGGTGGAGGGTGTGGGGGACGGGGAATGCGGACGTTTGGAACTGGTCGCAGCAAGCGTTGAGGAACCCGACACAGGTGGTTCACTGCTTTCCTCTCCTGTTTTCGGGTTGTTGGAGGGGCTGGCGGTGTTCTCCACAACAGAGGCAGGATCTTCACGCTGATGGGGTTCTTGCGGAACGTCAGGATTTGCATCAGCGCCGTCCATCTTTTGCCGTGGAAAGCGAGAACAGCCGAAGAAAAACCGAGAATGCTTAAGTGTAAATGAAAACTCAGCGATGATTCGTGGCTGTTAGGCCAGTTAGGGGTGTCTGTTCTCTTCTGCTACGATTTCAGAATACAACAAAAATGGGGAATATGTACATGCAGAAAGAATGTCACAAAGTGGTACTTCCAATTTTATCAAATACTGGAATACAATAATGAATAACAAAATGAATTACTATATAAAAAGCCAAAAGGCCAAATTAAAAAACGCAAGCTAAAGCTGCTTAAAACTCAAAAAGAGGCATTCAGAAAATGCATGCAGTAGAGCAGACTGCGAGCAAGCGTCTCGGCGCTCATTTCGTCTTGCCGAGCTGAGCCTACAAATGGGGGGGTGCACGGGCTGTTCCTCCTATAATAATGTTGGGTGTTCGTACAAGTGTGAACCTTCGCCGCAATCCACCACTTCCGGTGACAATTATGCGGCTATTCAGAGCGCTGGAAAATCCCAGTTATTTTGGTTAGTGAAATTTTTTCGGGAGAAAAATGCGCTGTTTTATCCTTGTTCTGGCTGCTAAGTTTTAGTGCATGAATGCATCATTTTTCCTGTGTATATTTAAAATTTTATTCTCCTGTTCATCGCGCATAACCGCCATAATGAGCAAATCTCTCGCGCTGCAACTGATGGAAAGCTACGTGCAGCGTACAGGCGCTGTCGCCAGCGCAACCACCCCGGGGCTCCCGCGCTATCTCTGGACGGACTCCTTCGCTGTCATGAACTTCCTCGCTCTGCAGAAACCGGATTCAGCCCAGGCTATTATCCAGCATGTGCACCAAGTCCTTGCGCGTCAGCGTTCCGAGAAATATCCGGAAAAATATTTGGATGGCGCCAGCGACGATCATCCTACGCTGGGAGGCCTTCGTATCGGTATGAGGCTGTCGAGTGTCAACACAGAGCTGATGAAAATGCAGTGATAAGTGCGGAAATAACTAACTACCGAATTTACTCTTGTAGTTTTTAATGATCCTTTTTTTCTAATAAAAAAAATCAGTGTACTGTGCAGTTGTTAGATCGCTGCAGCATGGAGAAAAATATTGCAAACTTTCGTTTCCAGTCGACAGCCGTCGACAGCAGCAGACTGGTAGTTCACACCAAGTAGTCGCCCCAGAGCGGGTGCGCGCGTAGACAGCCGTTTATCTACGGAAAAACGCCAAAATCTCCGTTATATTTGCGCATTTGTTTTTATTTTTTCTGCTGTCGTTTTCATACAGTTGTAAGTTTGTAATACTGTTAGTAGTTGTTATATTGGCGAAATTATATTAAGCAAATTTCAAGGGAATGGTGGTATTGTAGCAGGCTAGTGAGAAGTACAAATTAATGAAGACCTCTGTGGTTTTTAATTGCGTTTTTAATTTAATGTGTAGGGAAGAAGCTGGACGAGCGCCAGCCATCGGACCCATACGACCGCGACTTGGAATGGGACCGCGACGGTCAGTACTTCCACTACCTGACCAAATGGATGTGGGCGCTGGACCACGCCGCCCGCTGCCTCCACCAACCCACCCTCAACCTATGGGCCCGGGAACTGGCCGCCACCGCCCACCGGAAATTTACCTACGGCGCCCGGCAGAAACGGATGTACTGGAAGATGAGCGTTGATCTCTCGCGACCGTTAGTCGAATCCCAAGGCCACCACGATCCCCTGGACGGGCTGATCACCGCCATGCAGCTGCAGGAGACGGCGCGGGAGGTGGGTGGGCAGGCGACCGGCCCGGAGTTGGAGGAGGTGGTGCGGGATTATCTGGAGATGGTGCAGGATGGGCAGTTCACTACAACGGATGCGTTGGGGCTGGGTGGGTTGTTGGTGGATGCGGGACGCGTGGAGGAGCTGATACGCCGAGGACGACAGGTAGCGAAAGACGAACGAGTTTCTCCAGCTATTTCTGCTGAAATTATTCGAGTAAAAACTAAGAAAAATTAAAAAGAAAAGAAAGTTTAGAAAGAAAATTTAGAAAAATTAAAAAGCTTTCTATCTTCCTGCCGAAATTAGCATGATTAATTTTATTAATTTGAACTGTTGAAATAGTTACCAAACTCGAACAAGAGACGCCGCGGCTTTTGGCCCTTACACTACAATCAATTCTGATAAACTTGTACTGGTACAGAAGTTTGATCAGTAGGTGTATCCACTCAGCCCGCCGCCCGCCACTATCCAGTTTAAAGCGTACATGGAATTGTTTAGTGGATTATGTGGGGAAAATATTATATGACACCCTGAACAAACCAGTGATGACCATCATGTGCCAGTGAAATCACTACGGAGCACAAGAAGACCGTGCCGCTGTTGCTTATGTTGTGTGTGGTATTGGGTTGTCGAACCAACTTAGCACTTTTTTGTATTGTGAGTAACTGTTAAAAAAAGGGCCAACTCCGTACTTATGGAAAGCCTCGTAGCACGGGTCTGCCATTTATCCTGCTAATTAGGGCATTCGTTTTTTTCTTTTTTCCGAAAGTACGCAGCGGGATTAATCCGTAAGTGATGAAATTACCAATTTGCAGGAGATTTCCGCCGGCACATCGCAACTGCGCATCGCCACCACCTCCGCCTTACTGGACCGCCTCTTATCGTGCTCCCTATCCGGTCTGAAAGCGTTCGCCCACTGCGAGTTCGACGAGAAGGAATCGGCCAATTACCGCTTGGCGTTCCGGGAACTGGGTCTGGCCATCGGGATGAACGTCGTGAAGGCGCTGTGGGAAGAACCGCAGTTTGCCGGCAGCGATGCGGCCAAGAAGGCCCTGAACGATATCGCCGCTTTCGATTACGTTCGCGAGAAGATCGTCGGGTTCTGGACGCAGGACGTCAACCGGAAGGGGAAGACGTACACGGAGCACCGGGATATCAATGACGTCATGCTGGCCACGGCCATGCTCGACGGGGTCGTCGCGGCATCGCAGCCGAAACGGGAGGAACTGTGACGCTGTTCTCGTGGATTTTTGTATATCATTTCTATACAGGCTTTTGTTTGCAGACCACTTTGCAAGCGCTGCAAGGTGGTCAGGTACTTTTGATGTGACGATCGTATAGTTTCAAAATAAAAAAGCCAGGATTTTCTAGTATTTTTACTGATTATTTCACTTGAAACTAAGAAGCTGTTGGAAAATAATTAATTCAATAGGATCAATAATTACACCAGAATTAGTTAGCATATAGCCATATACTAATTCTGGAGTAATTGTTAATCGCGTTAAATGAATAATTTGCCAACAGTTTCTTAAACTCAACTGCCTTAAATGCCAACTGTCAGCCATTTGGCTCGGAGCGCGTTATGGCTCACACACTGTAATTTAACTCTGCTTACTAAAAATTTTCGTGACCAAATATTGAAAATGCAGCAAATCGAAACCGAATAGGCAATGGCTACAAAGTACAAACCATCAGAAAAGTCGGTACGTTTACAGCGCAAAAGAAGGCAATGTTGCCGAGACAGAGTCGGTTACCAGCTACCACTTTTTGATCCGGCCGCTGCCTTCCCCTGTCGGGCGTCGCACATGTTACGTAGATCACCGAACAGCGTGTGCGTTAATTTCCGTACACCTAACTCTGTACTGGTAGTCGCAGTGTCGCACTACATCCAGTGGCTACAGTATTGCGGCCGAAAAACTTCGGCTGAACTGAAACGAACGTGGCCGAAATGAAAACGGCCGAAGTGATCGGTAGCCGTTCGTAACATCCAGTTACGATAGAAATTTGAAAATGTTAAGCAGAAACTTTCATATTCGTAGTATTTCAAACTATTTATTATGGACTAACATTCTAATAATGGCAGAAAAACCATCGCCTGTGACTTGTAAAAACGTCCCCACGGACGTTTTTGCAGCACCCCATTGCTAACTTTACCAAAAACGATAACCATTTTATCATATTAGTAACATGGAGGGTTTTCACGAGAACGCCGATTTTTAAGTAAACCGGTGACCTTTTAAAACCTGTCAACAACATTTTTAAATCCGAAAAGTTCACAGCGCATTCGGTAGCAAACGTTGCCGTGAATACGTGCATGTAATGACCGGCGATGGCCGACGCACTGGCTCCTCGACTCTCGAGTTACATGTGGCCTGTGTCAGTGTATTGTATGTAGGGGCCATCACGCATGCCTGCATACGGGCACATCGGCGGTGACGACTCACAGGCACCGCATTTTCCGTTGACATAGACAAAGCGTTAGCGTTGACATAGAAGAACTTCGCTAAGCTTCGACTGATAAAGTGGTGAATGGCCAATAGTGGTGTAAAAAATACTTAAAATAAGGTGGTGCGAATATCCAAAAAGTTGGTGAAAGGTGTCAATAGACAAAAGTACTTTGAGGAACTCAGGGTGGCGAAAATAACAATTTCCTAAGAATAGTAATTTCTTCCTTTGTTGTACGTTATGCATTTTGACAAAATATAAGTTATGTACTGTAACCGACGGAAACCTTGCATCAGTCCATGACTCAATGCAGATCAACCGACCGTACTCGCACTGATCACCATAGTTCCCCACAATGTAGCCAATTCCTTGTGCGCACCATTGCAACAGTTCTTTCTTTCTCTCTCTCTCTCTCAAAACACTATGAGTTCGATTGACTAACTTCACGCCATTGTAAAGTCCCTACTTTTTAGTTAATAATTAACCATTCTTTAGTATGATTACTGAATGAATGAATAATAATATTCAGTATAACACAAGTACAGTAATACTACACTGACAACAATACTACTGTTATGGTACGTACACCACAGTTCTCTTCCGGAAATATGCAAACATGACCTCGCTCGGATAAGCAGCTGTCAATTAGGTATCCTACCGAATGGTTGGAATCAGAAATCCACGCGACTGGCGCCATCCTGTTGCCGGCTTCCGGCTGGCACGCAATAAGACGCACGCGCACATCCGGCTAATCACCAATAGCACCGGCATCGTACACCTCCTTCCTTAACAGCTTTGGTCCTTCAAAGGTTAAATTGCATAGTGTATTCTTTCGCCAACACCGCTCACCAGGCTGATTCAGACGGATCAGTTCATCTATTCAAACTTGCAGTTATCAAATTATGCTTCACGGTAATAGCTGGCTTTAGTGGTACCCAATCTCCATATATCCGCCATTTTGCAGTTCAAACTGACTCTACTGGCACCGGAACCACTGACTCCATTAGTACTTGGATATGTCTCATATTTCGGACACTTTAAGTGTACATTTCTGCATAATTTAATAAATGTGGCGATGGTTGTTACTCCTGGATTAACAGAGTGCCCATTTGCCGCTTGCTATGGTGCCCTTTGAGCCGGTTTCCTGCTTATCACTGTCATTTCCATCTACAAGCACAAGAACTGATCAATAAAGTGCTGTATTCACAAACACGACTACAATTATAGCAACTTTGTTCATTCGTGCAATAGTAAAAATAATAATATAAGTGGAAGAGCTTAAGCAAAAATAACGGTACTTGTACTTATGAAATGCGTCAATTAAGCTTTGTCTGGAAACAGTATTTTTGCTATTGTGCAGTCCGTATGCCTTGTAACTTCACGAAAGAAACACTGCGCTCAAGCAGCCGCCCGTTAGAGTCTAGATGAAGATGCTAGTGCAGCTTTGCAAATTTTATGCAGTTATATAGCGAAAAGGTTTTTAACAGTAAAACATGAAAGTACAAGCAACGCTCGAATACCTGAACCTGAGCTGCCATCTCCACTACCACCCCCGGTTGAACCACCGCCCGCCCCACTTCCGCCACCTGCACTGCCGGCTCCACCACGCAAACTGCCACCACCGGCAGCCCTGCCCGAAGTACCTGGACCACTCCCGTCCGCGCCGCTTCCACCGCCGTTGGAACTCCACCGCTGCCGCCGCCTCCGGCAGCGCCTGGAACCATTGGGCACCAGTTCGGAGCATCCGTCGGCTTGTGATTAAGGTCGTAATAAACCGGTCAACCCGTATTTACATCCTGTAAAGAAATTTTTTCTATTGCCAGCTTTAATACGATTGCCAGCTTTGATTCTTTCACTTCCTCCCAAACGATAAAATCAAACAGGATTGCCGGCTCATTTGCTACGAGTACATAATATACTGTAGCTGGTGACCGGAATACGAAGCCATGCAAGAAAAAGAGAAGTAAATATTTGTAATATACTCGTATATAGGGACATGCACTAGACAGAAAGGCATAGCAGCGACACGTCTACGTCCGGTGGGATAACCGATAAGCTGAGCTCCAACGCATTACTCACCAGATAACGCATCGTCAACCACATGTCACATACAAAAAGCCCCCGAAGGTCACGCCCGAGCGTGGATGTACAACGTACACATGGGCATGGACGCCAGCCCAATCAGTATGTCAGCAAATGCAAAAAGCGAAAGTAATTGGTAAAGGTACTCACAGTTGTTTGTCGACGCGGAGCGACATCATCACCAGGATACTGCCAAAAACCGTCAAATAGCCCAGCAGAATGACGGAGGTCTCAGGTGGACCGTACGGCGGATCGCTGACCATCGTGATGTGGTTGTTCGGCGAGACCGTCTCGGGGCCCACGTTGCTGGGCACAGACAGAATATCCATGGAAAGGCGCGACTGCGTCTGCAGAGCATGCACGGCGACTGGGCCAGGCACGGAAACTCATCGGGTAGATCGACATGGGCGGCGCCCAAGGACAGTGGGTGGACAGCAGGCGTGGTGGGTGCATGCTGGCGCAACCGGTCGGCATCGCAGTCCAAAGGAAGGCGCTTAAGGGGTGCTCGTTCCGTTGGAAGGGAGTCCTTTGTCTGCAAAGAGAAGTAGGTACGTTATTTTGATTGGTGCAGTTAAGTACCCAGATTGTCAACTGGCCCTACTTAGTCTGTTCTACGTGTGTAAGCTGTAGCTGCTTCTTCACACGAAATTTCATGTGACAAGCATAAACGCCGCCATGACTGCAAGCCGTACGTAAGTCCGCCGCCACGACAAAAAAGATAATTATGCCATGATTGTCTATCATCCCATTTTGCCGCTACAGGCGCTACTTCAGATTATGCACAAAGATCAGTTCTTTTAAATTATTATTATACTTTCTTACTGTATCCGTTCTCTGCGTGCGCCGCAGGAGCGCAGGGTATGATTTATGGAAAAGTCACATACGGTACGCGATATTCGATGCAGCATGTGCGATGATCGGCAAGAAAAGGTCGCTACAATCGGGGAGCTTATTTGTGCAACTTCGTGAAAATGCGACCTCGCGCTGCATTAATTTACTTTTACGATGTTGTAAGCAAAAGCAGCAAACAGCAGCGACAGAACAAGTATACTGGATATTTTGCGTGCGCCCATCACAATGGCTTTGCTTGGAAAATAACTGGTTGGTACGAATAAACTGCTGCCATCATACTCAAAGCGCAGCGCCTCCAAAGGCGCCGGGAGTATTACAAAAAAGGCTTCACATAACGTATACAAGTACTACGCTCCAGTCTTCAGAACTTGCTGATTTTTACAGCAAATCGCACTATAAAAGCTAGGAGTCGTATGGATATTCCCCGATGTTGTTGTTGTTGTTGTTGCTGTTGTTGTTGTATAAACATACAGCGTAGTCCACGATGGCAAGAGCGTATAAAAAGGCCGTATGCGAATCTGAATGTATATCTGTTTTGCTAGGCAACCCTCACAGGCCACAGCGGCCCTGCTTAACATTAGTTGAGTATCTAACATTAGGCTATGGATTCGAAATTAAGCACAGTACTTTGGTTATATAGAGTCAGACGTATTTTTTTAACTTGAAATTTTTAATAGCTGCATCAATCTGGAAACAAACTAATTCCAAAGCAATTTTTAAAAATAGATGAAGTCTGGATTGTTTAGCTGAAGCGTGCCAGTTCTCGGTGCATATCAATAACTGTTTTCAATAGAATTTCGTTTCTAACCCCAAGATCTCCACCCAAACCCCATCGGAAACCGACGGTGTTGCCAGTAACCCTCCTAGCGCAGTTCATTCTTCTCACAGCAACTTGAGTCGCAGTGTCCAGTCCCGTGAGAGACTATCCTATGTCTTATCCAACATCTGGTCCCGTCAATTATCCGGTGCATCGGACAAACTCCAGCATCCAAGCGGACAGCAAGAACAACGTAGATACTGCGGCGAGAACGCGCCGTACAGTCTACGTTGTTCTTGCTGAAACGCTGCACTATCTACGCTGTTTTTGAAACCCAGATCGACGAATTTTATCTGGAGGACATCTCTTTGGAACTGAAGAAATCGCAACCGTATCAGTCTACGAACAACCCGCATCTACAACTTATCCGGGAATCTTCGCAATCCACACTAACAGAAAAACGCATCGTGGCGGAATCAGTCTCCACTCTACGCACATGTGAACGGCTTCTCAAGTTCCACCAAGCGGAGGTTCAGCATTCGGCTTCTGAACAGAGCGTTCGATCCGCGACCGCCAGATCATCATTGCAGAGCCCATGGCGCAGAAATCCTGTCTGCATGGTTTGTTCGGCAAATCGACAAAACAGAAGTATCCCATTCCGTCAACAGTCCGGAAGTCATGTCCACATAATCGTTATTATCGTCCGGCAGTGACATGCTTCCGGTGTATCGCTCACCCGCATCAGATGGCTTTGATGCTAGCAGAGTACCGCGCGATAAAGGTCAAGAACCTGTAATTCTTCGCTAAAGCGGCACTGCCAGTGTCGTCTGCCAATTTGGCGGCGGGTGATCGTCGCGATGGTCATGCAGCTCATGCCTTTTCCTTCGGATATGCTACCGACCTGCAATGTTTTGCTGAGTCGTTTTGGAGGTCATTTGGATTTATTTTAGGACGGGTAAGAAACATCTGATTCTGTGGCTTGCCTGAACTCTAGTTACACTTATGTGCTGTAATTACCGCATGGCATGAGTCCGCATGGCATGGAATATTATCTCTCTTTGAACGTATAGTATATTTGACTTGTAAAATGGGCAGTATGAAAGGAGGTGAACGATAAAGCCACTCGATTCAAGTGCATTCGCAAAGCTCTGCAACTTTACAGTTTAAAAAAATGCTTTTTTAATTTCTGAGATTTTTTAGACCTGGTCTTAAGTTCCAAACGTAATGCCAGAACTTTTATGCCGTGTAAAACACCATATGAGAAGCGTATTCATGTAGGTTCAGAGGATTGATTCATATAAGGTCACTTTCCGTGTACATGTAATAGTTTGTATCTGAACCTTTTGCCACCTTATTTCACCCTACCGGAAAATTCGTACACAATATGTTAATAATTTTCATTAATACGTACGCATCATCTGGCTACGTAAGTTACTTACGATTAGACGGACTTACACCACAGTTTGGTGAACCGAATAGTCGCCTGCCCTATAGGGGGAATGCGACGGCCAGATCTCAAGTGGTGCAAGTCCGGTTAGCGACTAAAGTAAGGCTGCACACTCTGTACCCGGTCATTTCCTTCCGCCATAGGATAAACCATGAGGTTTTGTTCGTTAGCTATGGGCACCACAAATAAATCTAGTCAAGTGCATGTTTAACGTATGATCATGCAATAAACGACAGACTGCTTACAGGTTTAAACGACACTGTAACATGTGCCATCAGTTCCTCCGCCTCCCTCAGGTAACACGCTTCGATCAGGTAAGGCCACCGACCGAATCATCTTCCACGGTTAACTTTAGAGCTGTCTCCTTGTTTTATAGAATTCGGGCATGAGATGCAGTTTCAGGACCACTTAATGACCCGCATCCGCTCTAGCGAAGAAACCATTCAGCATCTCTGTACCGTCCACGCGTTCGTCCTGACCGAGGCCCGCCGGGATATTTTCGATTTCAACGACCCATCGACCCGTTGCGGGAGGACGTAGTGACCCCGGATGACCGGGACGTGTGTGCCGCGCAGCTGAAGGACATTCTGTCTGCCAAGAAAGAAACCAGGCTGACTAGCTGCGTACGGAACAATCCGGCCATCTTGATGAAGGACATCCATGCGCTGCTTCTAGAATTGCGCTCCTTTAGAACATCGTCAAAACCCTGCGCCACGCCGTTAAAAGCGTTGCAGTGTTTGTGGAGGATACCGCACATCTGTCGGCGCAAAGCCAGTATGTGGCACGGCAGCCGACGTCCATTCCTGAGATAAAGTATACGCTACGGGAAGCATCTGCAACTGGAAATTTAACAACACATGCGTATAACTGTATATCAGCCTCGTCCTACGTGCATCTATAGTGATGTCCGATATTGCAAAGTGATGAAACATACCGGTAGGCCTTTTGCGCGCTAGCAAAATTCGCTATTAGTAGGGAAAAAATCGCAATAAAGGCTGTTTTTGCCACCTGTAAGCGGCAGCTGTGTGTGGGCGAAATACCTTCGGGACTTTCTGAAATGCAGGCCGTTAACGTAAAAACAAACACCTAACGGGCGGCCACCTCGCGGGAGGCGGCCAACTGGCAGGCGGGATCTCTGCAAATATTCAATTCTAAATACTACCGCCTACGAGCAAGCTGTAAATGTCGGTTGGGCGCAGTTGGGCGCATATTTATAACATACACCTGACTCTAAATCCCACCTCCTACGAGCTGGCAGTAAGTGTTAGTTGGGCGCAGTTAGGCGCATATTTATAACACACACCTGACTCTAAATCCCACCTCCTGCGAGCTGGCAGTAAGTGTTAGTTGGGCGCAGTTGGGCGCATATTTATAACACACACCTGACTCCAAATGCCACCTCCTACGAGCTGGCAGTAACTGTTGGTTGGGCGCAGTTGGGCGCATATTGATCGTAAGAATCTTTAATGGTTACATCGCTTATTACACAGTAACAATAACAAAATTCCACATCATTCACGTTCAGCTAATTTAAATGCAAAATACACGTCTTCTTTTTCAACCATGTCGCTGAATGTACCGAGAACAGAAACTGCATTTCCTCGTTGAATCTCGATACCAATTTTCTGCCGCAAAAACTCCCCTGACCGAGGGTTGCCCGTACAGTCGCTGATTTTTCTCGACAGCTCTTTAAAAAATTTCTTCGTCCGTGGTCCGAATGTACCCGTGGTTTCAAACGCCAACGGTTGGACGATGTAACGGTCTCCCAACCCGCTATACTTTCCTATTTTCCGGTCTTCGCGAATTTCCGCTGCACTTCCCGGCACTCTAGATGTTTGGGCAATGTACGTTTGGGCGAATGTATCTGCCACGGTTACATCCCATACTAGCGGTTTGCCATTTTTCCAAGGAAACGCTGTCACTCCGTCGGGCCTCTTTCCGTCGCCTCTGTCTAAGCCCGCCGGCTCCAGTGACGATGGCACTTTTGCCGAGCTCAACGCGCGCTTGGTTGCTTCGTTCAAAGCAGCGTGGACACCATGCCTTCCTTTCGCTAGCTTGCATACCAATCCATGGTGGCCGAGGCTGTCTACATCACTGCCACACCGGCAAACATGTTGCTGGCATACCGGAGCTCCAAGCCGCCGCGCCACGGCAATTCGTAAATGAGTGTCCTCCAGTAAATTGCCAAATATTGATACAGGCAAAGCAGCCAACCAGGCACGCGACTCCGGTGAGGATGCAGCCAACAAACGAGCTGAGGTAAATACGTCGGCATTCTCCATCATGCGGGTTGCTGTCTGGGTGTGCTGTAATGCTGTCCATACTGACTGGTAACGGCGTCTTTCCATCTGCGGGGGTTCCAGAGAATAACGTCCAGTCCACTCTTCGGTTAGCTGATTGGCCTTGTCTCTTACGGTGGCGTTGCCTGTGATGTTGCACACCATGTCGGCCGCTCCGTAAATTGATGAGGTGTACGCGGCCAACGCTACGCCCGCTGCGCTGATCAGTCCAAGGCCTCCAAATTTTGTGGGTAAAGAGGCTTGCTCCCATACTGGGCTGGACATAGCTACGTTAGTCAGCTGTTCCGTTTTCACTCGGATGACTTCGTCAAATTTCTTCAGTTCATCTGGGAATTCCCAACACGGTGACGTTCTAAGAAGATACAACAATTTCGGCAGCGACAAACAGTTCTTTAGCAAAAACAGACCCTGGTGTGAAGGCAATATACCGAGCTGGTCGGCAAGCACTTGTGCTTGACCGACCTTTCTCATCAACGCGCCCGATATCGCTTCCTTCAGCAAGGGAGAGCCCAGCAGCTCCAGTTCTTCCGGTTTGGAAATTCGAATGTCCGGTACCGCGTTCAGAAATAACTGGGTTACTTTTTCCCGCTCTCCATGAGTTCCACCATCAACAAACAATTCGCACTTGGCCGTGTTAAGTCGCAAACCCACTGCGGCGGCTGCTTCTTGGAGATTGACCATATTGACTTGGCGCATATTTATAACATACACCTGACTCTAAATCCCACCTCCTACGAGCTGGCAGTAAGTGTTAGTTGGGCGCAGTTGGGCGCATATTTATAACACACACCTGACTCCAAATGCCACCTCCTACGAGCTGGCAGTAACTGTTGGTTGGGCGCAGTTGGGCGCATATTTATAACACACACCTGACTCTAAATGCCACCTCCTACGAGCTGGCAGTAACTGTTGGTTGGGCGTAGTTGGGAGCATATTTTAAAATACAACTTTCACTTACTGTATTGTTACCACACATCAGCTGACTTTCCGTTTGTGTAATCGGTATAATTCCCGATCAGGATAGCATAAAACAACTGTTTTTTTCGTTAATGCCGTTTTGTTCTAATGCATATTTTGTACTCGTACCATGATACCTATTAAAGGTTCCCAGCTGCCAGTAATTTGTTACTTGGACTCAGTAGGTCGCATATTTATAAAATATTATGATCTTCTCAAACTTGAAAACAAACAAATTGCCTTATTTATTTCGTCCTTTATTTATTGGTATTTTTAAAAGGTTTTTACTACAAAACCAATATAAAATAACAAAATAATAGTGTAGTACAATATAAGAAAAATACTAAGATACAAACTTTACAAATATCAAACGAGTAAATTCAATATAATGACATCCCATAGATAATAATACACAATCTTTTACTCTTTTCTTTCTTTTAATACACAATTGCACACAATTGCACACATTTGTACATTTTTTACTCTTTTCACACTTTCGCTTAACACCTCTTTTTTCCATCTTTGTATAACTTACCCAAATTTTTGTCCCCCACTTTCCTTTCAATACCTTAAAAAACCAGCAAATAAAAATTTTTGCACATTCAAATTAAATTAGAACACTTACCAATAATAACCATACACCTGAAATGGCATGTATACAAAAACAACTCCAACATACAACCAAACAACCGGAACAAAAATCGGAATGAAAATCATGTTCTCCAAATTTTTCCAAATTTAATCTACAATAAAAAACATTTGTAAACTTCTAAACGGAACACTGCACCCACCTGTCTCTTATAACTCCAACTTCGCTTGCCAATCTCAAAACGAATCAAAATACCCTAAAATACTGAATGATATGGAACGTTACACCCACCTGTTTCTTCAAAATATCTTTTTCCCACACACATAATCTCAACATATTCATTCATCCATAACCATATTTAGTCCATAATATACCCAGATTCATACCATAAAACCAGTCAACTTTACAGTACATTATACGCACCATATACTATACAATAAACCATACGGAACACTACATCCACCTGTTTCTTTAATTTGATTTTATTAAATACAATATCTACACAACATAACTGCATAATGCCAAATAAATTTCCTATAATGTTACTTAATCTTACTATATTTTACCACAATATCCTTTTTCATATTTTCCGTACTATATTTTCTATATTCCTTCATATATTCCATATTTTCCTTTTCTTACGTAATATCTTTCATCATTTATTAACATAAATATTATTTCTACCACCCTATTAATCAACTCATTATACCTTGAGATAATTTTCATTTCAACTTCCGCCTATCCAAATCACTCATTTCCAACATCTTTTGACATTCTAAAACTCAATGATGCTATAACAGTTAATGCAAATCTTTCGGAGAATCAAATCTTTCGTAGAAGCAAATCTTTCGCAATCTTTCCTTTCTTAAATCGTAGCGAAAGTCCTCTAAGTTCAGCGCCAATGCAAAAATGTATCTCTGTCCGTTACGAAAGATTGTTATCAAAGGTCAATACGAAAATATTCCTGGCTCGTTATATTGTTAGGTTAAATTATTGATAATGTTAAATACTAAAAGTGCTAATGGTAGCACGTTAAAAATTATTTCTTTCCCACAAGCGAAAAGCTGCTGCACTCCGGTCTGCCAATGCACACCTAATTTTTCCACTTTATAAACGTACTCCCAACAGCATCTACACACCAAACATCCGAATATACAGATATACTGTATAAAATTACAAAAAAAATTAACTAACCTCCTTAATACTAACTTCCTTAAAACTCTCTTTTTTAACCACACTGCCGTAAAGTCAAAAGCCAACCAATACTCTATTTATTCCTTAATATCTCTTGATCTATTTAACTTAAGAAACCAAATACATTAAAAAATTAACAATAATTTAAAAAAATTTCACTATAAACCTTACTTGTCACAAATCTGCCAAAATCCCTTCAAACACCTTTTCCCAGGCACTCCAAATCACTCTCCACCTTACTACAACAACCTTTACAATTCTAACTATAAAATAAGATCTTACAACACAATCCACACAACAAACTTCTCACAACTTCCCTTAACCAACTAAATTTCCACCGCACTCCGATCTCCTTTTATATACCCACAGCACACTATGCTTCACAAAACCACCAATCACCAGGAAATACCAACCTCCCCCATCCGATAACTTCCAATCCAAAATCACTTCGTCAGAGAACTTCAAAAGCGGCCTCATTTATATCGAAACACCCAACCCGAAAATCGTCCTTGACAGGACACATATGGCTAAACTACTGCTTCTACAAAAAAGACTACCCTTACAAATTCTACACAACAGAGCCATATGGTCTCGGGTGCTAAACACCCTCTGTCGCAGTGGCAACCCCACCGCCTGCCGGAAAATCCAACAAAAACAGTTCTGCCAATATCGCTGTCATACCAAGCGTTCCCGCCGGATCAGGGATCAATCAGTTGTAAATCCGGTTGTTTTCCACCGACAGTTCGGGCTGCGGCAAACTAAACATAAGGCGACTGGCTGTTGTGTTCGGGCAGGAGATGCCAGGTTTGGTGGTTGGGTGACTTTGGCGAACATTTCCAATCCCGCACGGTTCTCGTTCTCGTTATATACGAGGAGGATTAGTGTTAAGTCGGCAGCGATCTTATCGCCCACAATTAAGCGGAACACCCAATCCAATAAAGGTTGATTTAACCGTCAACCGTAGATGGTTGCCCTAACCAACAGCTACGTAATCGTCAACCGTTTTATCTGACACTGGTCGGCGACTACGCATGCTGGTTAAAGCAACCCTCCACGGTTGGCGGCTAAATCTTCCTCCATTGGACTAGGTGTTTAGTTTAACTGTATGCTACAAACTCGCTGCCGACTCAGCACTAAATTCCTCCTCGTATTAAATAATTAAAGTGCTTAGCAACGTATTTCGCGTTACTTGTTTGTATATTTCGAGATATTTCATTTTGGAACTAAAATTCCCGCAGTTATAAAATTTTGAAATTTTTTCCGGAGAACGAAACAAACAAAGCAGAAAGCAACCTGCGACATAAAATCCACCGCTTAATTTATCCGATTGCGCGACTGAAATATGTCCGATGCCGAAATAAATTTCTAAAATTAAGTTTAAATGCGATTAATGAATCTAAATGAGATTATTAAATGCGATGGTCGGTCCGAAAAAAGAGAAATATTAGATAAAGTTCTGGAGAAACGAAAGGAGCTGAACAATGGCCAGGTATGAATTTCCACTGTTCTGATAATTATAACTAGCAGACCCCGCACAAACTGCGCGGAATAAATCGGTGATAGATTAAAATGCAGCAGAGAAATATCATCGTTCATGACATCTAAGATACGTACGTTGTCAAATTCAGATATATTCTACGCTTTCGTTGTATTCATTCATGCTTAGAAATTTAAAAATTTTAAATTTTGCAAATTTTAAAATAAGGTGCTGCTACTGTACTCGTAGTCGTAGCTGGGTTCACTGTTTTACCGAAGATTCTATATTGACAGTTCTGTGTTAACATTTTCCCGATCGGCGATCGGTGCACTGCAGAGAAAACCGTAATAAACTTCAAAACTTGCCGTTTAAATAGTATATGCTGTTTTATAGAAATTCTTTTGAGTTTTTTTCTTTATCAGTCTGCTATTCGGTATCTTTGAATTGTAAAATATTGCCCGTTATTAAGTATTAGAATTTTGGCCAGCCAGTGCAGCCACACTTATCAAGTCATTAACATACTTACTTCCAGTCATCGGTTTTTAAATTTCAGTTTGTCCGGTAACAATGCGCAGACGCAGTCACTCAAGACGCAGTGTCTGATTGTGTCTCGCTTATTATCTTATACTCGCATGAGTCCTATCTGTATTGCTGCTCCGCAAGCTCCCTAGCGCCGGCGCTCGGGGTCACCTGCGGCTTCGCCTTCTGTTACAATAGCGTCGTTTCACAGTAGCGTCGTGAATAATATTTAAATTAACTAATTAATTAGTTAATAATAATCATTTAATTTCACAGCAGCGTCGTGAATAATTCGCACTTCCGCTACTTGCACCACATTCTAATACAACCGCGTAAAATCCATACTACGGTGCCACCGTAGTGTCGTGTATATAAGCGTTCACACCGGTTAAGGTTCCATGAACTATCTTTACTCTTCCACGCCTGTAATGCTCAATCGGTAGGCAACTCTCATCTCAAACTGTAACAGATAAACTATGGTGGAAATACGAACGATTCAGGAACACAGGAACTCAGGAATCCCTAAGCAGAAGACTAACCACAATCTCCGGTCGCAGGTTCTGTGAGGATCGGCAAGAGCTAGGTCAATTGTGACGCGAGCAAACCTGTATACTAAGCAATAATTTTTCAGCCGGCAGACACCCACGGCACGGCGGGCTCAATAACATTGTATGCCGCGCCCTTGTTTCTGCCGGCTTCCCCGCTAAACTGGAACCACGCGGCACTTCACATACGAGCGAACGACGCCCAGACGGCTGCACAACGTTTGCATGGCAGAGGGGTATGTGCTTGGCATGGGATGTCACTTGTGTCGATACGGTTGCTGCTTCCCATATAAGGTCTACATCGTCGACTCCCGGATCGGCGGCGGTACAGGCAGAAGAAAGGAAAGCCAGTTTGTACTCGTACCTGAGTGGGCGCTACATTTTCGCAGCCATTGTTTTTGAAACAATGGGCCCATGGGGACCGTCAGCTACTGCTATTATCAAGGAAATCGGGAAGCGTTTACGTAATCAAACTGGAGAGGCTCGCTCCCATGAATTTCTTCGACAGCGACTGTCCCTGGAGATTCAGCGGGGAAATGCGGCTTCAGTTTTCGGAACAATGGACGGAGTTGAAAAGTTTACTGAGCTCTTTCTGTTGTGATAATAAATTCTTCTTTCACCGTTTGGTTAACTAATAAATGTTTTTTGATTTGTATGCTGCAGTCGTTTACAAATAAAGTACATTTTAGCAATAATCCGGGAGCGACTATGTACTTCCGTAGGAACAAGTATTGCTGCCTCTTTAATCCAATTCACAACACAGTACGCAACACAAGGAAATCGTAATTAGAAAGCAGTCTCAGAAGTGAATCTCAGACTACTGATTAGCGACTGCTACCGATATTAGCGGCAACCAAAACTTATCTAGACTCTGCGTTATGACATCATATACACCGCTAGTAAAAGAGGACAGCAAATCACAGTAGAGATTGACTAGATTATCTGTTATGTTGCAGGCGGAAGGCGGACAGTCAGCATCCGTACGTACATCCCGGCGTGTATCCTACTCCCACACGTCAGTAGTATGGATTTTACGCGGTTGTACGGTAGGCAAGTGATAACGGCACGCGCATCCGCCCTTGGAGGCGCTACAATAAAGAAGCTCGAACAACTGCTTTAAAAACTGAGTTTGCAGCTGTTCCGTACTCGCGGACTGCTTTGACTCATCTTTCTGACTTCTTCAGCTTTAACTGTCTTGCAAACAAAAATTTCTGGTAAAAATATCTAAACCACGGCTATAAGGTGATACATGTCATTACATAAGCACCCCATTCGAAGAAGAGCTTGAGGAACGGCGTTTCAGCTGTCGACTCAAGACAGTGGTGGGGTGGTCGATTTAGCAGTGGTGGGTTCCTCACTTTTCCCATAGACTTTGTATGTTAGCTTTTCTTAAACTTCTTTTTTAAACTTTACATTTTTTTCAAAAACTGATTCTTGTCGCGCCATCTGCAAACCTGGCGCTATCGAATGATATATAGACACCCAAGTTTCGTTAAGTGTGTCGCTCAGAAAAGGGAGCTTTGTATGGAATCCGCTAAGGCTTATTTTATTAATATATAGAGATGATTAGTTAAAGTGGTGAAGTTGTAGTGTTGATGTTGAGTTTTGCTATTCTTGATTTTGTTTGGGCATTCGTTTCAGTGTGAGAAAACACTCATTGTTGTTCACGGAAAAGAGGAATCCGATAAACTAGCTCTGGAGCCTGCGTGCAGCAATATTTCCAGCACCACCTTGAATGAAAACCGTTCTCAGGCACAACTCCAAATAGCTTTGGCTGACTTCCTGTCCGGCCGAAAAGCGGTGTTGGTGGCCACTAATGTTGCTGCCCGTGGTAATAAAACTGAATACACTTGCTACTTCCCATTGTAACTGCATTTTCGATTGACTTCGTACACAATCGCGTGTTGTTTTACTAAATTAATAAAATCCTTGCAGTCTTTTTACATTAATTGTTAACACTGTATACGTTTTACTGTATTGCTGAATGCGTGGACTGTTACTGTATCGTCGGATAATGTCGTGAGAAGTAACGGGAAAAATTAGAGCTATTCCGAAACTGTTTTCGTTTGTAAAACATAAACCTACAAAATTCGACCTTGGAAGACGCTTTAAGCTCTTCCTTTGTGCAGGTTTAGCTATTCCGGACGTGGAACATGTCATCTACTGGGATTTGCCGCGCACGGCGGCCGACATGGACGATTACGCTCATCGCATTGGACGAACTAGTGGCGTCGGCAACGAATTCCTCACCACCACGTTTTACACATCCCGAGATGTTCACATTGCCCCGCGCTTGATCGACATCTTGCACAGCTCAGGAGCACGTGGTCCTGATTGGCTGTACGAAGAAGCGGGAATGACACCCGCGGCCAACGGTGATAAAAAGTTTTGGCGCCCAGAATAATCGTCCAAGAAAATAAGTAGAAAAATTTTGTTATAGAAAAATTCGGACAAATAAAGTTATCGGCCGCAGCGAAGGCCGAACTAACATGCGCTATATTCAGCCGAAATTAAAAAATGTCAATCTGTCCGTCCGTTACGGAAGTAAAAAAATGACGTTATCAAGGAAGTAAAAGCTATTGTATAAGGAAGTACTTATACAAAAATGAGGAAGTAGATCGTCAAACAAAGTATAAGAAGGCGTTTGCAGCCACTGCACTTGAATTTTGATTCCCATGGTGGTTATATATGGGGCAAGCCCTTTATTTAGGTTCTGTGTACAATATTGGTAGCACTAGCGTTCGTTGATGGCGCATTTTTCACGCGTTAAGCTACGTTCGGTAAACATAGTAATGACGAAAACGCGGTTGGCGTTATTGCATGCGCAGTGCGCACACGGCACAAGTACATGGGTAATTCAAAAAGATTTCCGAAAAACTACGTAAATAAGATATAATAAGTTAGCGAAGGTGTACTACCTACGTGGCTATCTGCGCCAGTAATTTCGGAATTACACGGATAAATATGAATTAATTACGTATACGCTTACGTTGCAGTGCATGCACATAAAGTAAACGACCGGTAAATAGTGTCGGATGTAATTGCAGTACTTGCATCAAGAAAGGAAGAACCGTCAAAAGTCCGACAAAAGAACTGAAAATGTCACTCGCAGTATTAAGGTGGTTGATCTCACTAAATATCAAATTTGATAGTTGCAATTTTCGCGGGTACCAAATTGCACTGTAAAACACTCACGAAATGGTTAGTTAGGCCTGAAACTTCCGGCGGCTGGTGTGGAAAGTGGCGATGTTGGGAAATCGCGGGTGGTATGGTTGTTTTACAGGAGCGCTATGTAACGCGGGCGGTTATGCCGGCGTTCTAGTGGGTTGGCGTATTGACCGTACCACGATGTTGTATGGGCTGATGGGATGAAAGGTTGGCACGACCGGCAACGGCGCGGTCGTGGACGTTCTTACTGACGTAAAACAATTACTGAACGTAACAACGGAAGTTCACGGCTAAGCATTCTCGGTTTTTCTTCGGCTGTTCTCGCTTTCCACGGCAAAAGATGGACGGTACTGATGCAAATCCTGACGTTCCGCAAGAACCCCATCAGCGTGAAGATCCTGCTTCTGTTGTGGAGAACACCGCCAGCCCCTCCAACAACCCGAAATCAGGAGAGGAAAGCAGTGAACCACCTGTGTCGGGTTCCTCAACGCTTGCTGCGACCAGTTTCTAACGTCCGCATTCCCCGTCCCCCACCCCCTCCTCCAGCCACGAAAACCTCCGTAAAATGCAGAAAACATCGGAATCCGTCGCTGGCCCCTCGACGGTGGAGGCCGCCCAGCCGGGAACGGCGGGACAGGCCTCGGGATCGCAGGAGGTCCGGGGCGCCGTCAGTCATTACCCCAGAGTCACCCTGGCGCCCAGCGTCAACGGGGAGGCCGTGAAGAACGTCATCTCGGCGCTGGACGGGGAGATCATCGGGCAGTATGAACCAAAGATGACCACAGTCCGTCAAAAACGTGTGTCGCCTGCTAAACGCCGTTGAAGGGTTTTGAATACACGGGCGGGTGCAATCTCGACAGCAGCGCTTTATTACGTAATCGGATCAAGCTCTTGTCGGTTTGTACACAAACGTGCGCCACACGGTCACAATTGTCGGAAGCTGGCAAAAAGCCCCTTTTCTGATCAGCCCCCCGGGCGGTCGGCAAAAAAGCAAAATTGTCTCAAACGTTGTCTGCCTCTGGACAATAAAACGTTCAAGGAAACAGTGTATGTACGGTAACGATATAAAATGGCAGCACAGCACTTTGAGTTCTGCCCGTTTCCTTTTACGCTAGCGATGCATCGCTTGAGAGTCTCTCAAAGTGAGGGAGCCCGATAGCTTTAAAAAATATGAGTTTAATTTCGACCAGCCACTGGCATTTGCAAATTTAAGTGATTGCAACTTGTAATGTGAACATTGTCATGGGTGATGCTGACCTGCGCGGGCAGCCTTACGGGTTACTTGCGGCTACTTGTGCCTTTCAAAAAAAAGTGCTAGCGCATAGTGACCGCTTATATCTGAATCTATCACCACTGCAGCTGCACCATCCCCAACGTTTTTTGATACTGCCATTGCGCCTGAACCCAGGAAAAGTGCAACCGCGGACGACACAGCATCATAAACTCGTCGAAATGCAGCAAGTGCAATGACAAACTTCATAGGGAGTACTTTATGCCGTTTCATAATATGTAACTGTAATAAGCGTTATGGCAAAGAAGTATCGTCAGCGTAATTTGTTTTATGTATTTTATTGGGTAGTAGTGGTCCAAACACATGGAAACGGGCTTTGGCAGCTTTTAATTTTATGCTGACCAGTGGTCAATGTGTTGACCACTTCTATATTGCTGTTTTAAAGCACTTTTTTTAGCTATTTAATAAAGTTATTGCTTTTACGTAATAACTGTTTGCCTAATTATTGCAGAATTAAACGTATTTATGCTGTAGACCGTCCATGGGCATTGGCGTTCTGCAGGCGACAGAGTACAATTCGCCGACTTACAGTTCGCTGACCGACAATTCGCTTTTCTACGAAAGTGTTCACAACTTCACACACGAAAGTTTGTCGAAACATTTTTGTTGACGGACAACTTGCTGCTCGATTTGAAACGTTGATTTTCAAGTTTTCTTCGATTCTTGTTGTTTTCTCTTAGCTTTCATTTGTTTCTAGCGCCTTTATGCAGTTTTCATACTTATGGTTAGAAGTTAGAACTTTGCGCCAGCATGCAAGATGTGCTACCGCCATCGGTTGGCTGATGTACTAATACAGAAGCGTCGATCTTCTTACAGGTGTGCTGCCATCCGCGGTTTGACTGCTAAATTAAGGGCATCAACGATTGGCTTGCCAAGTCAACCGTGAATTAAAGCACGATTTATGAGAACTGCATAAATGCGCAAAACCGAAGCTCTTGGTTTACTACTATTATAAAACCTATGACAAGATAACTGCTGATCGACTCAGTTGTCATATGTGACCGGCTGGTCATGGCCCTAAGAGCCAGGCGATTTAAATGACGAGGGTGTTGTTCTGATCTCCTCACAGCACACCGACAATGCGCTAACCACTATTCTGCTGACCGACAACCTGCAGGAGTCTTTTTGTTGACATGAAAAACCCAAGACCTATGAAAACTACGCTATAGTATGTACCGAGAACTGTTGGCATGACAGAGTAATCGTAATACGCGTAATCACAATAAGCAGTTTGTTCTTGAATTTCACTGCATACTCCAGTGCACTAACATGCGCTATAATAATTATACATACAACAAACGGTAACTTCATCGCAGGTTGACTTTAATGCTGTATCTTGCGTTTAATCACAGTGTGTATTACGTTTTGTTGTTGGAGGTCGTACTGTACCCGCATACCTATACACTGTACTTACTCAATCCATTTTGCCGAAAGAAGCAACTCTTTTATTAGTCTAAAACGTTTAATGTCTGCTCCGCTCCGCTACACTAGTACTGTTTCTGATTTTCAGATTAGTAGCCAAATAAACTTGACAATACCTCCGACAAACGATTGACTACAGCATTTATCTGTGCTGTAACGCGAGCGGTGTAAAGTTTTTCGAGATACAGTAACTGCAACCACTGCTTGATGATTTTGATAAGCGTTCGGTTTCCAGTGCATACCTTTGCGACCACATCAGTGATCGCACAAAGAGCACTACTAGGAAAGTGCAATCACTTTCTGCGGGCACTGCATGACCGAAGCGTAGCAGGACTATGTACAGAGTGATTGGCAGTATTTGGCACCCCTTTTTAATGTAGGCAATCCTCCTCGATTATTTAAAGCTCTCATCCCGGTTGGTAGAATTTTAGTACAATGACAAGCGAAATCTCGGCCTCTGGCCCCGGTACGCATTTACGTGAAATTTCGCAAATAAGTAAATTTTTCGAATATATGTTTCGAAACTGTACAAAACATCATAATTTCTTCAGCTCTTGTGAAATAATGTATGCCGGGTCATGCAGTGCTATGGGAGAACACCGCCACAATATACCCATAATATACTCGTACAAAGTAGTCAACGGTGAGTTATCTGCTGAAAACGGTATGAAGTGTTGGATTTGGTAACGCTGGCGGCGGTTTATAAAAGGTCCAGACTAAAAACCAGCATTCAGGTATAGGCCCATCATGTCAAAAACTGGTGACACCAATCTAGCCGGAGTTTTGCCATTTTCACGAAATTGCGCCTACCATTGCTTGCTGCAGTATGCACTTTACTGCCCTTGTTCTTCTTCCTTGTTCCCTTCACCTGAATTGTACTTGCATCGCACGAAAATTTGATATTAAACTGTTTTTGCTTCTAGAAGTTTAAGCTGTTTTATATTTTTTGCTGAGTTTATCTCGCATTTTGACCTACTTGTTTTCAGTTTTTTATTACTAACCGATAAAGAATCCCCACTTATTCTGTGTTTTGTTGTAGCCACTGGTACCACACATGGACGACTCTTCTGCCAACATTAACCGTGAGGTCCGTGACGCCTCCCTCACGCGGCAGGTAGCCCCGCCCAACTACTGCACCTGCAAAGGTAGCAATCCTGCGCGGCTCCTTTACTAGACATCACTTACTTTTCCTCGATCGTAGGTCGTCACCATCACCCCCAAGCGGCCGCCAGCGCCACCACCGCAAGTGACGCCGTGAAGCTGCAGTATAACTACTGCCAGGATCTCTCCGGACGGTACGCTGTTCATGCAACAAAGACCACGCCAGCGGCTCGTGATCTCCAATGGAATCGCTACGTTCAACCGTCAGCGCATGGACTAAGCGCGCTCGGGCGGAGGAGGATGCCGAGACGGCGGCGGTGTCGTCGGCGTACTTGGCGCAGCTGAACAAGACGTTTCAGGCGATGGGCTTATCGCCGAACTTGAAAGCAAACCTTCCCAATAAGCCTGATGTAATTGTCTTCTGCTTGAATCAATCCGCGCGGGTCTATGATGCCCGGAAGGCGCTGTGGACGTTCACCTATCCGCAAAATGCCTATAATCGTTGCGGTGTGTGCGGGCAGGTAGGCAGGTGCGTTCCGCGCATAAACAATTGCGAGATAGCGAGATTATCATGGCAAATGCGTACACAGCACTTAAATACTTGTCTTGTCATTTTTTTATGAGAACTGCACAATACTAAAAATTGTAGACTTCAAAATAATCGTTCCATAATCTAAACATTTCAGTTAACTTCTGTAGGGACTAATGTACGAGTACTTTTTTGAAGCTGGTACAATATACAGGCTTACATAATTTCAATTACGTTTGCAACATTTTGGGTACACGTACTTATACAGCGCTTAAAGCGCTACAAGCGCATACCTTTATATGTGGTATCAATAAAATAACAAGTCTTAGAAAATGTTCCATAACAATTTTGTAATCAATCATTTGCCCCATCAACTGGAAAATTTCTGATAACAAAATAAACATAAATTCACGCAAACTCTTGTCTAAGCTTGTTGTACGGTGACCTTTAGCATCATTGTTTGTCGTTGACGTATAGGTGGATGTGTGTTCAGTTCAGAACTGTCTGAAAACTGACATTAGGCGGTCCTTGCGACTATCTCGGCTACGGACCTACGGTGTGGCCGAAACCTAGTTGACCTTTTCCCTACCGAAATCCAAGTCAACGCCCGACGCCTTCGTCGCAACCATAACGCACCAATTACTTTTGCAGACGCTGTATTTGACCGCAGTTGGTGTTTCGAAGAACGGCGTCATCCTCAGCTCCGATGATGAATTCACCAAAGCGCCGCGGCAGAATTAGAAGTGCGGACCAACGCCACCGGCATCCCAATTACAAAATCCTTCATCTTAATTGCCAGGAATCCACCCTCCTTTTTCCACTGCTTGGCGGGCAGCTGACTGTCGTTATTGCCATCCTTCCGCAGACCATCTACCAAGCCGGAAGAGCCCGTTTACCGGCTAACGGTCCAGTTGACGGTGACCGGTGACCTTTACCTGGTGGCCAATCCTAACAAGATCTACTACGGCACTGCAACCGCGTATGACATCATCCAGTTAAAAAAACCGGTTCTGATCGACAGCATGGGTGGACTGGGTGGACCTGTTCCAACTCCCGGCGCTTGTAACATTCAGCAAGCCATGACCAACATGGGCGACAGGAATCTATGTCCGCTTACCATCTTCGCCTCAGCGGACGGAACCATGGTATCCGCAGGACAATTAGGACGGGTACCGCACAAACCGCGCAGCAGCTATGGTTCGGCCGGACCGATCCGTACGCCGACATTCAAGTTGTGCACATCGCCGTCTGCAACTGGTGCACCAGCGGCTACGATTCTACCGTGGCGATCACCGCGAACCGGGATTTCCGGAACGACTTGGTATACATTACGAAAAAGTTCCTCGTGACCAACGTCCTGTTCCTTTCCACGTGGTTGGAACTTGTAAGCCTCGGTTAACGGGTTCGTGACGAAGAATCCGAGCGCCATCACAATTCCCCGTAGAAGGTCGGTGAGCGAGACGGTCAGGGATGGGGTGTTCTCGCGGTGCAGCCATGAGGAGATGAGGAACTGCGCGAAGGAACCACTGTCCACTGTCAAGGAGATCCTGGCGCCGGAGGATAAGGCAAAATTGCTTCCTTAAAAAATTTCAGAAATAATAAAATTGCAGAAATAATTTATTTATAGTTATGATTTTGTGATTTGTAACTCAAAGGTAAAACGACATTAGTAAATATGATTTTATTTCTGGTGCAGGTTTTATAATAAATGCACATTTTTTGCGGTACTTGAAGTGCTGAAGCAGGGCATTTCTCGTTGTACTGGCAAACATCTTCGTTTTGTTGTTCATTACACGGTTATTTGTACGTCCACATGGCCATCACTATTTTCTGCTGCACTGTGTTTTCGATCAAGAATACAACAATGTACATAAGTACTTGTACCAATATCAGCGTCCGACTGGAACATCTGTACAACGAAAACGTTTTAGAAACTTTTCCACGGGTGGTTCTCTCAGCAGCAGCGCGAGCGGATGCAAGTCTACGCTAACAGGTTTAAATCTGAAACATTTTACAAAGTTTTGTCAAAGTAGTGCAGAAATTTGTTTGATTTGTTTAAAATATTGCAAAATTCCTGGAAGTGCTGAGTGACACGTAAACCGAAAGGTCACGAGCTGCCGCCAAGTAATTTAAACACTATTTTAGCGTAACATTTGTCTGTTTATGATTCTGGAAAATGGTGTCCATTCCCTCGCACGGCTGCACCATTGATGGCAAAGGTCAAGGTGCCGCAGAGGCAAACTTTAAGCTCCGCCGCAGCTGTGCGCCGCAGCCGTGCGCGTGTGGCACGGTGGGCCAAATTGGATTTAAAACTGATTTCATGATTATACCGTACTTGTATAAGTGACTAAGTAAGGCTCAACGATAAAGACAATATTGTCATGTCGTGACAGTACTTATAATATTGTTATACTGGCATATATTGTTAGCTGCTACAACCACCAAAATCTTTATACAGTACGTTGTACACTGTACAAGTGTACGATATGCATCGTCTTCCACTGAACAAGTGAGCGCATAAAAACTATTCGGCCGCAACAATAAAATTAATTACTCTGTTGCCAAGCAGCGAATAAAGTATGCAGCCAGGCGTAACTAGACCTTTTCCTTGAAATATGTTTACTGTACTAATTTTATTTTTCCAATAATATAGCGCTGCGTGAAAAGGAATAGCTCCTGAGCCCGCTCACAGATGCCGGTAGAACGATAAATCTTAAGATGACCTTGAAAAAAAAACAAGGTGTAGTTGCATAATTGCATATAGCGAAAAATCAGTAATTTAATGCTTTAACTGGAAACGATTTACTTGGTTTAACAATTAAAATCCAGTAATCTGTGCAAGTAGCGGTAAAATCTTAAATCACGAGCAATCACATGAGAAAGTCCGCTATAGCGCTGTAGTCATTTCGGTTTTGTTTTGCCATGTTTGTTAAACATTCCATATTAAAAAAGTTTGAAGAATACTACAAGCAACAAAAAAATATATTTTCAAAACAAGTAAGTTTTCGAAACTTCCTAAACTTAGAACATTACGCTGCTAAGTGCTGCGCACCAAGGCCTCGTCCCGAATTCGAAGCGAATCTCGTTGCGATACAGCAACTCCACCTCGCGAGGTGGCTTCGCGTACCGTATCTGTGGGCGTGGCCACTGCATATAGCCACCTCGTGCGGCTGAGCAACCGTACCATAGCGATATTCGCTTCGAAATCGGGACAAGGCCTAAGTGAACTAAGTGCTGCGCTCCGGTCTTACAATGAACCCATCGGTGCATTTTCCTTTGCCCAGCCAGAACTCTTGCAAAATATAAATTATTTGTACAAGGTTGAAACTGCTTATTTATCGACTGTGACGCACTGTAATATGTTTTGCAAAGATCATTTCGGAAATATCTTTAGACAACCAACCACAGCAGCAAAGAAACATGTTTCAACACGGAATTATTCCAAAATTTTGACGTTTGCGCACAGGTTGGAGATAAAGATACAGCGGTCATACGTTTATTCGTCCACGCTTCCAGTAGAATTTTATTGTTCACAGAATATCAACCAGTGATGGTACCGAAGTACTGAACTTAACTCGATCATAGTGAATTTTTCCTATTGAATACGTAAACTTTTTAATTTTTCTCTTCCAATATAACGTTGATAAAAATATGCATCAGTTTTTTGTTTAAGTGTATGAACTGCTTGAACGCCAAGTGCAGACTATAACGCGGGGCCGTATGGGCGCCACGCGTATCCTCGACAGCGAACAGCGTGAACCCGGATGAGGCTTTATTGCCGAATCTAATGCGCACCGTGGCGCAGTAACACCAGACTAACGAGGAAGGATCCTGCAGCCAGTGCAGCTGTGCTGCAGATCCGTCAAAACAGCGCAGCAATGTGCGGGGTGGAAATCCCCAGAAACAGCGAATAGCTACTCAGGAGGGCGGAGCGTCCCGCCCTTACAAGACTGACATGATGGCCAAGTTTTCCAAGTATTGGACTGCATCTTTCATAATGAACGACAATTTCTTTCTTTTTTATAAGTTGCTGTTTATATAATTATGTGTTGTTTATTAGAGCGCGTGCGATGACAATCTGCCGCTCGGGGCAAAATTCAAAATGCGCCATTAATTCGATTTACGCCTATTTTTTTACTGGAATTTTCAATATTTTAAAGTTGGGCAGTTTCAAACTTAAAGGTGCTGTGCGACTGCAAAAAAGCAGTAGGAAAATGCAATGAGAAACATAAATTCAAAAACTAATATTCGTAACTGCTAGATAACAGGAGGACGGCAAGACGACACAATAGAATTGAAATTTCAGACGTGCTCGACATCTCCTGAACCCGGGAAAACGAAAATTCCAAAAAGCCGGAATTTTGGAATTTTCAGAAGATGTCGGGATCCCGGTTCGATTTCGTAAAAAGGCGTTCATGGATTAGATGTGCCGAGCACCGTCAAAATACGGAGCCAGGACGGATGCGTTTTAATTGTAACAATTTCGTTGTAATTTTACGTAGTCTACGTACTCCAGACGTACCAATTAACGTCAAACATTGCGCGATAACTCTACTTAAACATACTGTCGCCGTCACGTCTCGGGTCTGCCCAACACACGTCAAAAAAGTGCTACCTGGCGAACCGGGGATAAGCCAAAATGCTCAGCCTGGCAAATTTTTGAGCCGAGCTAAAACTCTGACCACTCATAGCTTTCGTCATGTCATGTCAGTTTTCATTTTCGGTAACACAATCTTTTTCGACTTCCGGTGGCATTTTGCATTGGAGCAATCGCACTAGGTACATTATGTATCTATATATGTATATATTTATCAACGTATAGTGGACATGCGAACCTGCGCAGTGTATACGAGAGTACATACTTATCAATTATCAAGTACATACAACAAATATACTGTAACTTTTTTTAACGCAATGCTCGCAGTGAAGCAGTTCGAAAATCGAATCCAAGAGATCAGTTGTAATAGCAACATCGTTCAGGCAGCATGATACAACGGAAATTGATAATACTGACGATCTCTGTTCGAACGTAAAGAAAAAAAGGAAATTTTGATTGTACAGTCAGTGAAACTTCTCTTCTACCTCTGTATTCTAGAGAATATTACAGAATAAATTTTTTGCACCACTGTAGCAATTTATGTTTTATCAGAATTATTCAGAAGATTATGGAGTTAAGTAAGGGCTCCAGTTAAGGAATTATCATTCTATCCGTAAGTGATCTGGATTCCATCTGCATTTCATCTGCTATTCCATCTGAGACACCGCAGATTTTCACCACCATCTTCCAAGCGGCTGCCACCACCGCAACCGACGCCGTGAAGCGCCAGTATAGATACTGCATGCCAGGATATCTACGGATGGTACGCTGTGCTTGTAACCAACAACACGGGAGCGGCCCGCTACCCCACTGGAATCGTGATGTCATAACCGTCGGTGCGTGTATCACATCGCTGGCGGCGCTCTCGGCGGCAGCACGACGGTATCCCCGTCGCTGACGGCGCTGTCGGCGTGCTGCCGACGAGCTGCCGGCGCGGCCGACCAGGACGTCTCAGCAGATCGGATTATCTCCGCGCTTGAAATCAGATCTTTCCGAACAGCGGGGATCAGTCAGCGCGTGTATGTGACGCTGGTATGGCGCTGGGGCCGTCTACTTGTACATGGAATGCCACTTATCGCTACGGTGTGTTCGGTACAGGTGCATTCGCGGTATTTTAAGCAACTTTAAAATTTGATCTCTTTTTTAATAACAGCAAAATACGGACTTCGTTTTTAAACGGTGTTGTGCAGATAAATTTTTGTGGGAACAATCACCATTCACAATTTTTAGTTTTCAGTATTCCTTAATTTAAAAAATATAACTAAGATCGATGTGCGGTAACCTTTTATAGGCTGGCCTAATTTTGAAATACAACATTAAGTGCGGAATGAAAACATTCCTTTTTGTCTACGAAATATACACGCACCCTAAAATAATCTTTTGTAAAACTTAACAATTTACACCTTAATTCACTATAAACTTTGAATATTATTAAAAACGATTTGCCATGAGTTTTCGTTTACGTTTTTGTTGATGGCTTTCAGGTGGAAGTCCACCAAATTCCAGGCCAACATGCCAGCTACAAACCGTGACGAAATTAGGAGGTCGCCAGGACTGTCTCGCCTATGGTGCCTTCGAATGCTTTATGACCTTTTCCCGACCAGAATTCAAGTTATGCGCCTACGCCGTGACCCCAACGCACCTCTTACCTTCACCTTCGCTGCGTTTTGACTCGCGCCATATTAGCACCGCCGTGGCGTTTCTGGAGAGCAACGTCGTCATCTGTATGTCACGAATCCACCACAGTGCGGCAGTTCACGGTGGAATTAGACGGGCGGAACAACACCACAGTCACCGACATCACGATCACTACATCCGTCCTTATCGCGAAGGATACCTGGCTTTTCGCGCTGTGCCGCGAGGACGAAGATGGACTTGCGAATAGCGACTGTCTTCACTAGATCTCTTTACTTCACTAGATCTTACCGTGGCCCTCATCGCGACCCAGGATTTCCAGAACGACCTGGTTATCATCAAGAAAAAGATCCGCGACCAACGGCGCGTCCCTGTCCGCCTGGCTGAAAACAACGGTGAAAGGTTTCGTCACGAAGGATCCGCGCAGCCCGTTTGTCCACGGGTGCCAACCCCGCCGTTCTTACAATAGACGCAGAGACGTCTTACAACGAGACCGCATGACCAACCGGATCATCCGTCCGTCTTATTCCTCAGTTTCCCTGTTCGGATAACTACATCAAAGATCAAAGTGCTCACCGCGCCAATTGACTGCCCCGTCTGCCCGTATTGCGGGACGTG